GATCATGATGACTTTCTTTCGCTGTGCCTTCGGCTTTTCCCCTGTCACGCCCCCCTGTCTTGGAATCCCTGGCAGCCACAACCCACGCCCACTCCCACTGGCACTTCCTCCACTGGCACTTCCACCCTCCACACCCCATCCCCTGGCCCTCCTCCCCCCACTCACCTCCTCCGCCTCCACTCCACCCCATCGTCCTCCTCCACCACATCACCCGTACTTTACTGACTAGCTCATCGTCGAGGGCCATGCATGTACCTGGCTTGGCCCGGCACCGGGCAGCAGCCCAGCGCGAGAGAGGCACATATATTATCACCGCCTCCCGGTCTGCTCCCCTCCCGCTCCCCGTGGCTGCGGCTCCCGCTCCCTCACACCATCCAAGGCGGCCCTTTTTGCCAGGCCGAGGACAAGAACTGGCAGAGGCAGCGTTTTACTGTCTCGACTTGCCCACTTACACCAGGACACGCTGAGCAGCTGGGCTCTCCCCGCCGCCGGTGGATCGTCCGCTTTGCAAACCCGTCTGCCGGCTTCAGAACTGTGCGTGTTCGCCCGCTTCCCCGTTTCCGATCCCATGCTCCGCTTGCGGGGATGAATGGCTTTGACATGTACCATACTTGAACACTCGGGAGCGCTTGCTTACACTTCTCTCACATAGCTTTCTTCATCCACGAAGCATGTACGGAGCGTAGGTCTCGACGACTGCTTTCGAGTCTGATGACTTTGTCTCCCCGGCCGGTCCTATTCTGATCTGGTGCCGGACGTCGATCGCTATTCTTCACTCTTCGTTCCTCCTCTTTTTTCGTTTCGACACGGCCTTCTTCGAACAACACTTTCTTTTTGTTTCGCTCCGCCGCAGACGACAGCCCGAGGTTCTACTTATAGGATCGTCTCCGCCCGCATGGCCCTGCGAGTAACCGTACTTGGAATCGCTGCTACAACACGCAACTCGAATACGCTTCTTCACTGAAGCGACAGCGGCGTCACACATGATCATGGACGACGACTCTGAACCGCAGGTTTCGCGGCGGACCCTTACCATCATCCTTGCCACCACCATCCCGTCGGTCCTCCTCATTGTAGCCATCGCTACTGTCCTATGCTGCAGAGCCCGTGCCCGTCGGGCCCGGCTCTTCGACCGTGGCATCACGCCCATCGGCGATGAGGAAATCGAGTCGTGGAAACGGAACCGCATGCCCCGCAGCAATGCCGGACAGGAGGAGAAGGTTCACACGCCTGCCACCCCGCCTCAGCGCCATGACTCCAAGTACAAGGGCCAGGCTGGCAGCCCTAACCACCGCACAACCGCGTCGGCAAGCTCTGTGCAGAAGCCCGCCGCCGTCATCGTTTACCAGACGGCTCGCACGAGTGAAGATGTCCCAGTTTCGTCGTCTCCCCCCAACGGCAAGCGGAGCTTCGACGTCGCCCCCGCCGCTGTCCTAGCCCGCGCGCCAAACTCGCGGCCGGGGTTGACGGACGAGACGGTGCAAGGAGAAGACGCCTTTGTCGTGACGCAGATTAAGCGGAACCCGTCGCGGCTGGCCAAGGCACCGCCGCCCGTGTCGGGCCCATCGCCACCGCGCCACGGCCGCAGCAAGAGCACACGGGCAACTATGACGGGCACGACAGGTGCCCAAGACCTGTGGTACGGGCAGCAGCCCGAATGCCCTCGGCCCCCACGGCGCTCAGCAGACGTGCCGTTCCCTTCATCTCCCTCGCGCAGCCAGGCGGTGACGTACTCGTCCCGCTCGACGCCGCAGCGCACCTCGTTTGACGACGAGCACCACTTGGGTGGCCTCTCGCCCCGGCCGCTGATACACCAATCTGAGATTGGGCGGGCCATCGGCTGAACGCGCGGGCACGATCCGTTTTTATTGATGAGAGCGCTGGCGAATCGGCACGGCCACTCTGTAACGTTTGTTTTATGAAGAGCCTTTGATCAGGCCAGGAAACCCCGGACAAGCGAGCACCAAGGAGCAGCAACAAGCATAGCCTTGACGGCGTCCAATTTCAGAGCCATTTCTGGCCATCTCTAATGACCCCACCCCTGTGTTTCTAGACGTCAGAAACCCGAGCGCCTCCCCCGGCACTTGCCAAGGGAGCCGGATACGGTGTGGGGCGGACGACGTTTCACCAGCGACCGGGGTTGAGTCTTTACAGGGAAGGCTACCGCGGGAGAGTCAATCCGCCTGGTTGATATCGACTTGATTTGACATTGCCATCGTCACGGGGTGGTCTTTGTTTAGCACAGTGGACCCTCAACCCCCGTTGTCGAGCTGCATGTCATTAAGGAGGTTGTCTACCGTGGGCAAGCTGAGCAGCCGCGAGAAGCGGCGATTTATCGCTTTGAGTGGGCGCCGCTTGTCGATGAGTTGCCGCGGCATGGAGCATTGACTCGCACTTGTACGTCATGAACGGCCAGCTGCTAAATACCCATGACGGTCTTTTACGTCGGAATTGGCGCAGTCTGCGCGAGAAGAGGCTCGCCGGCCCTGAGAGAGCCGCGGAGGGCGCCAGGCGCGCAGGGTGTTGGGGGGCTTGGAAACTTCGGCGGCGCCCAGCTTGACGCTGTAGCTGCGCAGCAGGGACAGCATGGGAATATCGCAGTTGTCGGCAGCCAAGGATAGCAACGATAATGAAGAGCTCCTGTCTGCGACGTCGGCTCCGTGATCTATCAGTGCCTTGACCACGGCGAGTCGTGAATTGTAGACGGCCACCGCCACGGCAGACCATCTCTCGGCGTCGACGGCGGCCAAGTCGGCGCCGTGACGCTCCAGCGCGCCCACAATCTCGTCCGCGCCGTCTTCCTGGACGAGGTGCAGCGGCTGATTCCCGTACTTTGTAACAGCCGCGGGATCCGCGCCGGCCGCCAGCAGGGCCTCGACGGCGGCGACGTCCAGATTCAAAACGGCCTCGTGCAGCGCCGTCCTCCCGTCGCCAGCGCGCGCGTCCACGGGACAGCCCTCGCCCAGCAGGAAGCGGACGACGCCGAGGCGCCGACACCCTCCCCCGGCCACGGCCTCGAGGAGGAGCGGCAGGGCGCAGTCGCCGAGGACGGCGCCCGCGGCGGCGGCGTGGGCGAAGACGGCGGGGATGTCGTGCCGGGCGGCGTGGGCGAGGGCGGCGCCGGTGTGTACGTCGCGGAGGTAGAGGAGGGGGGTGAGGGTGCGGTGGAGGTGTCGGCTGGTGCGGACGAGGGCGTTGAGGGAGGAGAGGGAGGGGAGGAGGGTGGTTATTTGGATGGTGAGTTCGGTGGGGAGGGTGGTTAGGGACATGATTTGGGGGCGAATGAAGGTGGTGAGGTTGTTGAGTTTATGATTTGAGTGAGGTTGGTGATGGAGTTGTGGGCTGCAGGTTGATAGATAGGGTGATGGACGGATGGGTGGCAAACAGATGAATACCGAAGTGAATGGGAATATATGTAAGTGAATAGCAGGATCAACGAAAATATGAGCGGGCTGCATGACGCAAATCGTACTTGCTCGAGGTTTTGTATGCTGCAGAACAGAGTGCTTGATGAGGAGTGACTCATTTCTAGATTGTCCTGCGCGGTGATACTGCCTAAGTGAGTGTTGTGCCTAACAGGGGTCGTGAAGGAGACAAGCGTGAACGAGATAAATGAATTGGCAAAGCGATGCCAGCCTCGCGGGGGGTTTTCATGCCGGACTGTACCTGGTCATCATCAGATCGTGCGAGCTTGCAAAGTGGCATGAGGGTGAAGTCTGAAGTGTCATGTCCCGCTAGGCACGCGACTTCGTAGGCGATGTGAGGCAGTTGAGGATGAAGGCCTGCTCCAGCCCTAGGCGCGGCGGAACCTTAGCAAGCGAGCTGAAGCTGGTGTTAGCCTGCCGACGAGCACTGCTCGAGGTGAGTTTTCTCGTGAGAATGATGAGATTGTTTGAGCGTCTTGGCTGGCAATGACTTGAGGTGAAGCACAATGGCAAGCTCCACTGGGCCGTTTGGTGGGCGCGTTTCGAGGAAGCGCTGCAGCCACTTAACGCGGGCCCCACAGGCGCGGCGCGACCACCAAACGCGCTTGTCCAGGCACTCACTCAACTCTCACACTCACATCATACTCTTTAGTCCACCTCAGACATTAACCTCATCCCGCGCGCCTCACCCCCCCAGACCCCGGTTTCACAGCACCGGCCTCGAGCCCGCTCTGCAGCACGAGCCCCGCGCGACATTGAGCCTGAGAAACGCGCGCGAATTCCCCGTCCTCCGCAGCCCAAGACGCGGCGAGGGAGCCAGCATCTGAGCGGGAAGCCTTTGCGCGCGCAGGACCGCCGATATCAGTAGCCAACCACGCCGGACCGCCTTCGCCGTTGCCGCCGACGAGCACGACGACACCATGCCGGCGCGCAAGTCGGACCACCGCAAGAGCGTGGGCGACGCGGGGACCGTCGCGGTCGCTACCGTCGCCGCCGCCGCCGCCACGCCTGACGATAGCGCCGCGTCGCAGCCGCGGACATCATCGCCAGCAGCCGGGCCAGGTGCCGCGGCGACGGAGAAGAAGGACAAGGAGGCCAAGGACAAGGAGCACAGGGATAAGGATGCCGTGACAATCGAGGTTTGTCGAGCTCCCGCACCACTCCTCGTGCTCAGACGGGAAGTACTGATGACCGAGGCGGGATGCGCGGACAGGACCTCACGTTGCCGAAATCTATCATAACGAGGCTGGCAAAGGGGGTGTTGCCTCCGAACACGCAGATCCAGGCCAACGCCATCCTCGCCATGAGCAAGAGCGCCACCGTCTTCATCAACTACCTCGCGTCCCAGTGAGTGCCTCCTCCGCCCTCGTCTCCCCTTTCTTCATAGAGTATGGAGGGGAACACCAGGGATACCGGGGGGGTCGAATCAGTAGCTGACCAAACTGCGATCCTAGCGCAAACGAGCACACCGTTAATGCTGGTAAAAAGACGGTATTGCCGGCGGACGTGTTCAGGGCTCTGGACGACACCGAGTTTTCTTTTCTGCGGGAGCCTCTCGAGGCCGAGTTTGCAAGTACGTGGCGCTCCTCTTTTGCTTCATCAGCCGCCTGTGTCCACTATCGGGTTTGTCGCGATGTTCGAGATTCTGCCCTATGGGGATGCGCCGCATCTTCATGCTGTAGACGGAGCGCAGTGCTGACACGGTCGCGCGCAGAGTTCAACGCCATCAAGACGGAGAAGCGCACCTCGTATCGCGCCAAGGTAAAGTCGACGGGCAAGGACGAGCCGGCCAAGCGGCAGCCGGCCTCCGAGGACACCGACATGGCTGACCAGACGGGCGCGTCCCACGGAAACGACACCATCGTCTCCGCCGCCGGCGCCTCGTCCGAGCACGCACCCCGTGCCAAGAAGGCCCGCGTCGACCACGATGAGACGGAGGAAGAGGAGGACGACGATGTAGACGACGACGACAACGACGACGATGCGGAGCAGGAGGCTGCCGAGGAAGACGAGGATGATGAGGGCAACGAGGACGAGGACGAGGACGAGGAAGACGACGCCGAGGGGCAGGGCAGCGGGGACGAGACGCAGGACGCGCTGGAGGAGCGCGAGGCGAAAGATGAACGTGACGAGGCGCTCGATGGGGACGAGAGCGACTAATTCATTCACCACGATAACTTGGCTAATCCCAACATTTGTTTAAGGGCACCAGAGGGTGCATGTCTTTCGCGTACCTTGAGTATCGTGTTCACGTTTCGCAGCCGACGAACTCGAGCGCGGCTTCGAACTGCTGTCAAGACGGCCCGCCCGCCAGCGGTCCTAGTACCACTACGTACTTTTGCTCATATTCATATACGCACCCTCTCGTACCTGTCTCTTATACACATCTAGATGTGTATAAGAGACAGCTATCCGCCCGTCCGCGATGACACAACGCAACACAACGCAACACAACACAACACAACACAACACCCTACGACAGAACACGCACACACCAACACCAACCCCGGAAGCTGCTGAACCACCACCACCCCCCCCCTTTTTTATGCCGTGCGACGCAACGCAGCCGGGGCGCCGTCACCTCATCTAAACCTGAGCCTGCTGCCAGCAGGTTGTACCGTACTGTGATGTATGTATGTATGTAGTCCGTGTCTTCATGCATGTACTTCGCACGCACGTATGTATGTATGTACGTTTTAGACATGGATGTATATAATCTGTATGGATGAACGAGCTGACGTTTCGCCCGCCCAACGGAATATACACCTCAAAACCCGGCGTCCCTCCCGCGAGATAGGTTGTACACTGTATATTCATGTAGTACGTATACAGACACTCTCGCGCACACATACATACACACACGCATGCAGACTACTCGTACACGACACACGTGCAGACCTACCACACCCTCCCTCCCTCCCTGCCCCGGCGCGCATCGTCCGAAGGAGCCCCGAACACGCGCTTGCCCGCGCCCGCGCCGCCGGCTCGAGCACCGACTACTGTATGACTTCGTACGAAGCACTGTCCTTCGTAGCAGGTGTGCGGAATCCGGATGCGCGCCTGTGCCCTCCCCGTCGTGCCCGAACTCGAAGGGGGACTACTCTGCATCATGCACATACTCGCACACCTAATAAACAGAGCGCAAGAAGAGTAATTTCGTAGAGAAGGGGGGAAACCTCCTTTGTATACACTGTTTGTGCAACCGCACGGCGGACGCCCCCTCGTCTGCCAGTCTCCCTCTCCCCGCCCTCCCGTTCGCTCGTTCGCTCGCTCGCTCGTTTTTGTTCGTCTTACACGCACATACATACGCATACCCTCCTCCTGGGCGCGCGCGCCCCCCTTTAGGGGGAAGGGTCTCGGACAGCTGCGTCATCTTGCAGGAAAGAAGAATGCACGGTCACTTCCAGCTGCTCCCCCCGGTACAAGAGGTCTCGCGCACGAACCCGTCGCCGCGTGCCGCTTCCCGTTCGCCGTCCGTCCGCCCGCCCGCCCGCCATGGTGCTCCCCCAAACACCGAGTATACACTCGGCAGACCGGGTCCCCTTTGTGTCATGTCGCCCGCACACAGTGTGTATCTTGCACCAGATCTACTCTGTAGTGCAGCGAACCCATCTTTAGTCAAGGAAGTCTTCCTGGTTCGGGTCCTGGAGTCCCTATGCCCTACCATCGGCGTAGCTTGCCTCTCTCGACAGACCGCAGAGCAGGCCCCCTGCTTACCAGTCCATACGAGACGTAGTATGTATATCTCCCCCCCCACGGGAGACTCGAAGTAAAGCATGGATCAAGTAAAATACGATACGTTGAATAAAACGCTGCTGCCCTGTTGCCAAAAGCGGGCAAACTCAGCGAAACTGGGGTTTCTCCGGCACGCGCGCGTTCCCCCGCGGAACTCGGCTCGCTCGCACGTCCAACCCCCATGTCTTCCTCCCCCCGGCATACCCGGCTCTCGCCCCGACGTGCCCTCGCGGTGAGCAACAACAGTAACATGGGAAACCCACTCACTCTGCCAACAAGCAACAGGGAGCATGAAAAAGCCGAGCATGATGCCACTAGATAGATACTTACAGCACAGTACTGTATTGTACATGAAAGGAGTCACGGCACAGCATCACTCCCGTACCCAAAGGTGGCCCCGGCGTCCCCTCGACATCGCGGCGTGGGTTCCAGCCGCAGCGGCGCAAGGGCCGCCTGTCGGCCGGTAGAGAGAGGCAAGGGGCCGCGCGAGCAAGCAAGCAAGCAAGCAAGCGCACAAGCGAAGCAAGCGAGCAGGCAAGCATCCAACGCAACAAACAAGCACCATCATCATCGCCGTCACCATCACCTGGTCGTTCCGCACGTACCCAATACGACACTATACTCTACCTCCTGCATGTACAGTACCGAATAATACCTTACGCCATTGATTCTGTACTTACTGTACTGTACAGCGGCTTGAACTGTACGAATACACATTTGAGGTTGGCTCGCCCGGCCGTCCGCCCGCCAGCCGGATGTTTGCGCCCCATACGGCCGCGCGTGATACAATACAGCACATCGCAGCGCAGCGCAACCCTAGTGCTCTGGAATGGGTACCTTTAATCCGCCCGGATCGACCCTGGTCTGCAATAAGTGCTGCAAGGACGGAGGATGTAGTGACGGTAAGAGGTCATGTCACCAAGTTTTATAGCTATTGCTCGCTCACTCCCCCCTCCGATGGCTTGCTTCCCCATGCGCTGACTGCAGTAGTTACCGGCGATTGTCACTGAGTCATGGCTGCCCTAAGCCCCTTTGATGAGTCAGGCGCTGTACTAAATTACGGCCACATGGCTGTTTCCGTATTTTCTTTGCTGATGGAGCTGGACATTTAACGTTGAATGCATTGCGAAAAGGCACGTGTTAACGGTGCGTATCGCCCCCGACACTGCGCCCACTGTGCTTATCGAGCTCTCTACGCTTGGAGCATATTTGCTCGGTATTGGTGGCCATGATTTTTAATATTCGCGAAGAACACTCGGGCGATGAATCGGCCATACGAGAGGTCACGGGCGACGCCTTCAAACACGCGCAGTACAGTAGCGGAACCGAAGCAGCAATCATCCAGGAGCTTCGTGAAAGCGCTGCGCTCGAACTTTCCCTAGTAGCGACATTGGACGGTGTTATCAAGGGCCATGTCGCGTTCTCGCGCATCGCCATAGACGGCCACGATGCAGGCTGGTATGGCCTTGGGCCCCTATCAGTGCAGCCAATACTTCACCGCCAAGGGATAGGCAAATCTCTCGTCGAAGAGGGTTTACGACGGTTATGCAGCTTGGGCGCAGCTGGCTGCGTTGTTCTGGGGGATCCAGCTTTCTACGAGCGGTTCGGCTTCCGAAACCATGAAGAGCTTCACCTCGCTGGGGTACCCGCTACTCACTTCATGGCTCTCTCGCTGGGCGACAAAATGATCCCTCACGGCACCGTCGTATATCACGAGGCATTCTCCACCAACTGAAAAGTCGAAATTATGGAACCATCAATAAATGCTGCCATATAGTCGTTGTTCTGGGCGATCACAGGAATTGCTCAAGAAACCCCTACAGAGACATCATGGAGTGCTTGCTGGGGGCGGCCGCTTGTTGGCACTGCAACCACTGCCAAAAACGACGAGGAGGTTGGTTGAATGGATAGTTTGAATCAAAGCGACTGTTGTCCACTTCTTGCCGTTGGCTCTCAAACATTCCCAGCCCCGGTGCTACAGTACACATTTACCGAGTACGGGCCTTTTTCTTACGCGAAAGCGACCTCATGGAACAAAGGAACAAAGGATGTCGGCCCAACCGGGCAACCTCGTCCCACCACCACCAACAACAACAGTCAATAACAACGGCAGCAACATGAAAGGCAACGTCTGTAGAATGTACAAAGTACAGTACTGTCGGGGCCATTTTCAGTGTCGGGGTCGGCACCAACAGAAGAATTGTAAAAGCCTGTTCCGGCTGGATGATGGCCCCGCTTTTGACCTAAGCAGGCGTCCAAAGTTTTCTTTGTTGGTTCAACACCCCCGACACTGGAAATGGCCTCGACAGTACTGTACATGCAAGGCAGCAAGCAGGGCCCGCGGACCCCGGCGGGTCGGCAGCATCATGTTCAGTCAGCGTCGGGAGAGAACAGGATTCGGGAATCAGGCTCCCTTCCTTCCTTCACTCACTCACTCACTCACTCACTCACCCCCCCTTGCCGAGTACGAGGGCCGGGCTGGTCAGCCCGCACTGGCATGTCAGCCCGCACTGGCATGGCACCGGGCGGCATGGCCATGGCATGTCATGGCAAGGCAATGCAAGGCAAGGCAAAGCAAGGCAAGGCAACTCATGTCAAGTCAAGACATGGCAAGGCAAGGCCAAGGGCGCACACACACCGCACCGGCCATGTCGGGCAGTGTCGCACCGCGTCCGGGCACAATTTCCTCTTGCAGTCACGCAACCAACAACTGGCTCAAAAACCGCCAGCCCATGTGTTCCCTGCTACCTGCTACCTTATTCGTCTGTTGCACAAGGCCGAATCCCCCTTGCCCCCTGGCGTTCGCATAGCCAGGGCTCTGCTCTGCGCGCGCGCCCTTCCGTCCTTCTCTTTCCGTCATGCAGTCGTCCGGCCGGCATGACGGAACAAGATAATCCTCACAGAAACCACACGGGTACCGCCGCCCAGAAACAGCACAGCAATAATAACAAAAGAAACAAGACGAGCCGCTGACAGCTAGAGCCGCCAGTCCATTGCCATACCCAGAGCGGGCTTCCCCGTCCCGCCGTCACAGTGCTCGGAACCTCACAGCGCATTACACATCAGCCGTATACTCTCCCATGTCTCTTGCACAGTCGTGCCCACATGTACGCATCCCAACGCCTCCCATGTCGTCTCTTGGATCCCGCCCCCTTCTGTCCCGGCAGTCTTCACACAACGCCAATGCACCAGACCCACCACCCTTCGGGTACACATGTTCGGCGAGGCGTCGTCGTCGCGGAGTCAAAAAGCGGAGTCGAATTGAAAACGTGGTGGTGTTGCCCTTCCCAAGAAAACAGCAAACGAGAAGAAGAAAGGAAGCAGCCAAAGAGGCAAGCGAGTTTGCGTATGCGATACGGTTCTCGAGGGAATCGGGCCCGTCCCATCGGCCAACACAGAATGATATCAAAGAAACAAGACACGCGAGGTGAAAAGAAAACAAAAAACACTCGTATCCCGAGAATGCCCAGTCCCAAAACATCAACAACCGTAACACGTCCATAGCCCGGATCCCACAGTCGGCCGCCCCGTGGCGAAACCAATCCCCCCCTTCTCGAGCTCCCGTCCAAAGCCCCAGCTCAGGTAGCGAAAGTCGTCCAGATCGTAGCGTGCCTCCCAATCGTCCACCTGTCGTGACAAGAACCACAAAACAAAGAAGCGAAGAAAGAGGAACATGACAAGGAGACGTGTGTCCAACCCCCTGACTCCTCTACCCCATCCTGGCCGAATGCTATACACAATTTCAAAGGGCCGTCCAACCCGAAAGCACATTGCCTCCCAAACCGGTCTGCATGCTTGGGTATCCAGGAAGTCTGTGGGAGCTTAAGCAGTCCCCAAAGGAAAAATAAACTCAGGCAAGATACCTCTCATCCCAACTGTCCCCGGTGCCCGCCGCGGCTCGAGGGCCGCTTCATTGAGGCTGCTGCGGCGGCGCCCACCACTGCGGAGGGGGCGAGTGCTGCTGTCCAGACCAGGCTTGCGACGCGTTAGGCCCACCAGGTGTGCTCTGGGGCATGTAGCCCCTGGGTGTCTGATCCGCCGAGTACATACCCTGACTCGCGCCATATTGCATCCCGCCCATGGCCGGGAACGGCATGTTGGGCTGGATCTGCCCGGCGCTGGGCTGTCGGAGGTGCGACGCGGGGGACTGCGACGGGTGTGGCGACTGCGATTGAGTCGTGTAGCTCCCGTACGTGTGCCCCGGGTTCTGCGGGTTCTGCGACCACATGGCCTGGTTGGACTGATAGTTGTAGCCCGGGGTGCCCTGGCTGATGCTGCCAGACGAGCCTGTGAGGTTTCAAAAAGTCAGCATACGCCTAGTAGACCGCACAGGGTTCTTCGGCCGTACTTCTCATCGGGGCCTGGCCCAGCGTGTTCTGCGCGTGAATCGACTGCGAGTACGGCGCGGCAGTCATCATCATCTGCGGACTCTGCGAAGATACGACGGGCTGCTGAGCAACGCCCGTAGCGGTAGTGTGCGGCGAGCTGGACGGCCTGCTCGTCGCGGGGGCGGCATCGCTCGAGGCAACGGGCGGCTGCTGGCTCATGCTCGACGAGGGCGGCTGCTCGTGGGGGCGCCGCCATATGTTCTGCATGTAGTCGTTGCGCATGTCTCGCTGCTGGTTAACGTTTCTGTTGAACTCGGCGGCGTGGTGAGCCTGTGAGTGTATCTCCTGGATCGGCGACGGTCGCGTCTGGTCCTGGTACGGCGGGCCGGTGATCTCCTGGCGAGGGCCGCCCTTGATGATGCCACTAAAGTCTCGTGGCCGCGTGTCGCCAAAGTCTGCCCCGACGGTTAATCCAGGCATCCTCGTGGCGTTTCCAGGTGGTGCCCCCATCATACCTGCTTGGACAAGATGAGGTTGCGGAGCACCGGGGTAAGGCCCAGGGTTGTTGTTGTAGACAATCTCCGTGTGGGGACCGCTCATGAGCACGTTGTTCTGCGCCTCGGCCGCCTCGCGGGCCTTGGCCGCGCCCGGGCGCTTCTCGCCAGCAGGGTCCGCCTCGGTGAAGCCCTGCTTGCGTGCCTTGGTTTCCCAGTAGTCGTCGCGAACCCTGCGGCCGTTTTCGATGACGCGGCTGCCGAACTGCCGGAACATGGACCTGGCGGTGACAATGGCGATCTGCCTCGAGCGGTACGAAAAGGGCAGGATCTCCTGTTGGACTAGGTCGTCCTTTTCGGCCTGGCTCGCAATGATCTTGAACAGAGACCTGTTCTTGTTGAACAACAAGTACGAGTCCCTATACCCCAGCACCCTTGCGCATTCCGTCGCGAGCATGAAGAGCTTGTCTCCCCTGTTGGGCACGAGAAACGTCCGGCATCGATAAGTACGTCCACCGAGGAGCTGGCCGTTGGGCATCACCTTCTTCTCTCCGAACTCGTCAATCTCGCGAGGGAGGTACTCGTCGCCGGTCTGGTTCAACTGGTCTGTCGTGTGGTCTCTGACGGTCGGCAGGGCTTTAAGGGTCGACTTCGTCGGCGTGGTTTTGGGAGGCGCTGCCGCCGGTGCCGCGTAGGCAGGTGTCGTCTGGCTGGGCAGCGATGTGTTTGCCGACTGAGGGGTGTGCGGCGGCTGGCCTCCCTGGGCTCCGGCCGGGGCCGGGGGCTGCCCGGTAGCCTCAGATGGCTTCATGGCTCGTAACCGTTTCGGCTGTGACGGGGAAGCTCCTGTGTCGCGACAACCTCGTGTTAGCAAACGCGCGCGCAGCTTGCGATGCGTAACTGCAAATGGCATGTGCGCGCTCTCGGTATCTCTCTCTCTCTGCTCGCTCACGCCTTGCGCGGTCTGCTAGTGTGCGAATCGCGGCCTTGCGCAAGTTGCACCGGAAATTCATTCAACAGCACGCTCCAAAGAATCGCGACAGAGCGCGCGCAACTGTTGTTGGTAACGGAGCGGACGCGCGACGCCAAGCGGACCGTGGTCAGCCGCGACGTACCGTCATCGCCAGGCCGTGGGGCGTCACGGGCATCCGAGGACCGACTCCGCTTGTGACCGCGGGGCGGCGCGTTAGACAAGACTGTCAAGGTCGGCAGGTCAGCATCGCAGCAGGCAAGACGCGGCGAGGCGGGCGACCATGGTGGGCGGCGCGGAGCTTCCGCCACCAGCTCGGGCGATACGGCGGGCGCGACGACGGAGGCGCCGCGATGCGATGACTTGTGCGCGCCGGAGCCGTGTCGTCGAGGTGGCGGAGGCGGGAGGCCGACGCGGGAGATGCCCCGGGGCGGGATGTCTAGCGGCCTTATAGCGAGGCTCGCATGGTTACTCACCGGGAGAGCTGAGGGCGGCGGGATTGATTGTCGCACTATCGGCGCCGGTTGGCTGCGCGGAGTACATGGCAGGACGGGCCCCGGGGAGGCCAAGACGGGACGGGTCGAGCCAGGCCAGCAGCAACGGTGACGATGATGACGGTCGACGGCGACGTGTCGTGAAATAGTTGGGCTGACAACCTCAAGGTTGAGGAGGGTGCAGCAGTGCCAGGCTTAATCGTGCATGTGGTTGGCCTGCCGAGGGGGGGCGTGGGCGGAAGGTTGAGGCGTGTGTCGGATGGGGCAGTTAAACGGCTGAGCCGAAAACGGGTCAAAGCAGAGAGGGACTGACTGCGCGCCCCAAATGCCCGGCGCCCAGCGCCCAGACGCCCCGAGTCAGGCGACAGAGCGAGGGAGATGCCGGGGCGACAAACATGACCGCGCCGCGCCGCGCAGACTTGCTCGCCAGGACACACGGTCGCGGCGAGGCAGGCAGAGAAAAGGACGGCCGAGCGGCAGAGAGAGAAGAGCTGAGAGAGGCGCGCGCAAGAAAAGCATGAATGCAGCGCGACGACGAAACGCAAGAGGAAACGAAACTGACGACGGGAGTGATTGATTTACCTGTAGCTGGGGCGCCGACGCGGGCAGCGCGCGCGCGTGTGCGAACGAAGGTCGACGGCGAGCGGCAATCGCAGCGTGGTCGCGGCGCGGCGCAACAGACACACAAGCGGCGGCGACGGCGATGCGACTCGCAAGGTGCTCGGCTGCAACAGCGAGACGAGGCGATTCCGGTGTTGCTCGTTTCGCGCCGGAGCGACAACACACGATACGATGACGACGTAACGCGCGCGACGCAGGAGGAGCGGCTCAGGGCAGGGCAAGACAAGGACGAGGGAGTGGAGACGGGGCGGGTGTCGCGTAGGCCAGAGACGCGAGCAGAGGGGAGCGCGCCGTGGCGATTGATTGACTGAAGGCCTGGAGATGGACGGGTCCTCGAGGTGGACTGTCTGCGTGGATGCTGGGGCCCTTGACCGAAAGTGGGCGGCGAAACGCAGTGTGTGGTTGTGTGGTGGTGGTGGTCGCGGAGGTGGTGGTGGTGGCAGCAGTGAATGAGTGAGGTGAAGGGTGCGTGGTGGTATTTGGAGGTGGATGGGAGGGTGGCGGACGATGTGGAGTGCCGTTTGGACCGACGACGACGCCGCCTGTGCTCGCAGACGCAGAGAGAGGGCGCGCGAGCGAGAGAGAGGTACGAGGTACGTACTCGGTACGCCTGGGTCCTGCAAGGAAGCGCAGGGCAGGGCAGGCGGAGCGGAGGGAGTGCGAGTGGGAGTGTGGGAGTGGGAGGGGGGAGGCAGGCAGGTAGGTTGGCAGGGAGGGTTGGAACCCAGGGAGGGGAGGGGAAGGGATGGGATGGGATGGGATGGGATGGCCGGGTGGATGTGGATGTGGATGCGGATGGGATGGAGGGATGGAAGGAAGGGTGGGCTGGCTGGCTGGAGAATGGGGAACGGGGGGGGGATGGATGGGGATGGGGATGATGGAAGAAGAGGATGGGATTGCTGCGAGGCAGGCGGGCGAGGGTAGCGGCAGCTACCTAAGTATGTAATGTATGTATGTACGGTACGGCACGGGTACAGCACAGTACGGGACGACGACGGGTGCGTCGAGGTGCGTCGAGGTGCAGCGGCGACGAGCAAGTGGGCACACCCGAGTGTGGGTTGACTGACGAGACGAGACGACGATGCAAGTGGGAAGAGGGAGATGAGGGCGAGCGAGGGAGACCAACAGCCGCAGCGGAGCCCACCGTGCCCGCGTGCAGGCAGAGCCAGACCAGACCCAGACGAGCAACCTGGGGCCGATGGGACGGACGGACGGGCACGGGATTAGCTGCTAGCTTGGCCGTTGTGATGATTGTGGAGAGAGCTGGCGCGCGCCGGGCAGGCAGACGGGGCGTCCTGGCGATGCGGAGGGAGGCGCCGGAATGGAGGCGAATATCCAGGCGCGCGAGCGCGCGCTCTCGTGGCCTTGTTCGTGTTGCTTCGCTGACGCTGTGGCATTCGTTACCGGCAGACGAGAGACGCTGTTGCGAGCAAGACTTGGTAGTACCTGCGGCGGGCTCGACGGTAACGGTAACGGGTGAACGGGCGGCGCAACGGCGACTACGGCGACGGCGACGGCGACAGCGACGGCGATGACAACGATGACGACGAGTACGAGATTGTGCGACCGTTGGCCCCTTCCCCGCGGCCAGGTCGTCGAGCTTGTTGCCGTCTGCTGACCGTCCCTCGCCAGCGCGATGACGCCGTGAGAGCAGTCGCGCGCCCGCATGCTTCGCCCACGCTTGCTTGTATCCAGTGTGCGCACGGAAGCGGTGCGAGAACCGCCCAGGCTGGCGATGGAGCCATGAGATGGGGAAGAATGAAGAGGGGCGCCAGCGCCGGCGTCTGGTTGGCCGCCATGCCGCAAGCCCCCGGTCAGGCTAAAAACGCAGACACCCAGGCCTGTTTTAGCGGCCTTTCGGCTGAGTGACTGATGGTGACTGATGACTGACGGACGCGGCGTTGGCGTTGGCGTTGGCGCTGGCGGCGGCGGCGACGGCGTCGGCGGGGTGCGAAGACGACGACGACGACGGGCAAGAGCTGGGGCCAGCTGGAGCCGGAGGGGCGACACGGTGCGCGCCCCAGTCAGAGCGCCGACAAGGGCGTTCGACAATGGGCAGTTCCCGGGCATGCGGCTGCGGTACGATATCTGCCCCAGCTTTTGCGGTCCCCGCCTGCCCTTGCTGAGGTACCGTTGCGATCCGCGGTCTGTATCGGCCTGGGCGCCAGTTTGTCGATGAGCAAACGCGTGTAAGTCGTCAAGAGCCGTGCGGCGCGACGAGCAGCATGACGCCGACAAGGCACGGAGACTCTCGCTTCATGACGTTGTCCCTGCTCCCGCCCCCTCCGGCCTCTTGTCTCCAGCACCACTGTCGTCAAAGGCGCAGCACAACCCTGCATGGGCCACACACAACATGCTTTGCACATGCATTGGCACCCGTTTTGCTCCCTGCTGGAAAAGCAAGCACAAGACCCCGAGGCAGCAGGGGTTACGTAGCAGGGGTTCCCTCGCCTCGAGAGCCTGCACAGTGAGAGACCCAGCCATCCAGCCAACCAACCCCGACGCGGCTCCAAGATGCTCTGGCAGCTCTGGCAGCTCTGCGGTGTGAGATGGGCTCCGTGGCTCCTTCGCCCGCTGACTCTCCGGTCGTTCGTCCCTTCTGAGGCGCGTCTGCGATGGCGACTGGCGCAGAGTCGCGCGTGAGGCCGCTGCGTCATGGCGTTTGCGACCAAGCCCGACGGCAAGGCCCTGAGAGTTTCAACGGTGGCTGAAGGGGTATCCTGGAGCGAACCGTGGGGCCCCGTGAGACGAAACCAAGCCTGTATCAGCACATACCGTCCGTCCAGTACGGGGTACTTCGTACCTGGCCCATTCGTTCGCCTGGTGCCTCGCGAATGGTCACGGGAGGATTCCAGAAAGCTGAATACGTGCGGGAAGAACCAAGGACTCCGGCGCTGATGCAATGATCCTGCGAATCAGGCCTGGGCCTGGGCGACAGCGGCTTCCAACCTGCACCCAACGAGCTCGATGACTGGTAATATCTCGCCCGTGTCGTTTCAACGGTGCTGCTGGCGCCGTTGGTATCATCGTCGAGGGGTCCGTGACTGAATCCTCCACGGTGGCTGTCGCGGCTGACGTCGCAGTGGCGGGGTAGCACCGGACGGAGGCGCTTGGGAAGGGACGGGCATGCACATCGTACCGTGCATATCGTACATGTGCGAGTAGTGCCTGCTTCGTGCGAAGCGCGCGAGGTGGCCTCTTGCAAGCAAGTCCACCGTGCCGTTGCTGCCGCTGCGTGGAGACTCAAGTACCTCTTACTTGCATGGTGCACTCTTGAGAGGAAAGGCATGGAGTACGGGTTACTTCGTGCCTGTGCGTCGTGCGTCGTGCCTTCCCTCAAACATTGTCCTCCAGTGGGAGCGATTCCCGCTCCCGCTAATTGGCTGGAGAGTCTCTCCGTTTGCGCTAGAGCTGAGCCAGGAGGCCCAAGACAAGGAAAGAGTTGACCGGGGCGTCGCATCATCTGGCTGCCGTACCCCACATTTCAAAAGTACAAGTACAGGCGCCCTGCAACTTCCATGGTACGGAGCGGCTCCAGGTTGCGTTCCTCGGCGCGAACGACGCCATGGGTCAAGTACAGGCTACTTGGACAGCATCCAAGAGCCCAAAGCAAGGCCGTGTTCACTCGCGCGGCAGGCACGAGCCGAGCGGAAGCAGCTTGCTGTGTGCGGGTATCATGCGAGTATCCCTCGCAGGCCTGCAAGGGGGGGTCGGTACTCAGATCCTACATCGTGCATGTCTCTTCCCGCCAGCTCGCTGTCTCCCCACGATCCACGGCAGGTCACTTGCGGGCCGTGACTGGTCGCCATGGTGGTCGCCTGTGTCTATCAGCCCCAGCCGAGGAAATCGCGAAGCTCGCTCCTGTCCTCTGCTGCACGTCAAGTGCTGAAGCCGTTCCGCCGTGGCAGAGGTGCTGAAGCACATCGTGCAGCCAGGGCGCATCTTCGTCGGGATAGGTAAGCAGCCGGCGTCTCCGAACTCGAGAGCTAGCCGTTGCTGTTGCTGCTGGTGTTGCTGGTGTTGCTGCTGCTGCTGCATCAGCCCTGTACGCGTCCGCCGACTCAGCCGAACGTGATGCAATGCCATGGTTGGGTGACGACGCCCTTTATCTCACTCACCCCGCTGACTGTACATACAACGGGGTGTGCTCTCACCAAGAACCGGCTCGTTGTGGGCGCGTCAACCCAGGTAGCGTCATCGGTTGGCATTTGCCCAGCCATGGTCGCCGCTGGGCCTGCACAGCCTCGTAAGCGTGCAGATGCCCGAGTCGTATGTAAGCTGAGAGCGGCTTTGGAAGACGCTCACCGTGCTCCGAGCGGGCCGAGTCCATCGCTCAGGTATGACTGTTTCACAGGACTCGGGGCATTAGATCGGCCGTTCGGGTACGGAGTACGAAGTTGCATTGGGGTCGAAGTCGGGCGCAATGACTTTTCCTACGTCTTACTGGATCATGCACTTCGCAGCAACCGTACGGCCAACTGATAGTGCAGGTCGATGGGCACAACAACGGCACGAGGCTGACGGGCGAGATCCCCCGCCAGTTTGCAGCCGCCCTGTGGCCGCGCCGCCATGGACTGGCTGGATCGTTGTCGCAGTCACTGGGGGTTAGCCTCCTTGTCTCGTTCAGCCAAGCCCAGGGGGTGTCCGTCGACACGGCCGACCTTGAGTCCAGCTCGGCAGCAGCTCAGATCTTCGCGAAGGACCAGCTACAAGGGCTCCAATCAGGGCAGCACGCGGCCTGTCCCAATCGCGTCGTTCCGAGAGGAGCAACGCAGCTTAAGCACGCCACGGGCCAACGCCTTCCACATTTCTCCGTCGGCCGCCCGCAGAAAGGCGGACTGGTCCAGCTATGATGGATGGGCAAGATGGGCATGACAGCTCCTCCTGGTCGTGGGCGTCGCGGTGGTGGTGGGTGACGGGCGGGCGTCAAGGTGGTGGACCGAAGGGCGAACCCCTGTCGTCTCCTGGCGGCTTCCTTGCGTCCGCCGCTTGCCTTCTTTTCTTTTTCCGTGTGCGATGCGAAGCGTGTGTGAGGTGCGGGAGCGATGCGATCGCCCAACCCCAGACCACGCCATGCCAGGTTCTGCGGCAACCACCAGGACGCAAAGAAGGCAAAAAGGGTCCCCCGCACACACGCGAGCCGCCCACCCCCCTCTCCCCCTTCCAGGGCCTCCCTCCCTCCCTCTCAAGCGGGCCTGCCGCACAATGAGGTGCAGGGCTTCACGCATGAGCAGCTGCTCAAACACGCTCAATGTACTCGGGCTTCACACATGGCTTGACAAGCGCGTCCTGGGTGCTTCTGGCGGTTGGTCGCGACGCCGTACAACCGGGCCGCCCGGGGCATTGGACAAACGTCCGGAAGTCTCTTCACGCTGACGCTCACTGGCGGCCAAGTAGGCAGGCAGCGGCGAGTCTCACGCCTCATCCCGTTGCCTTCACCGGCTTCTGTCAGTCGCCGGTCGTGCTGACGATCGCCCTGGCCACCGTAACGTCCGGGGCGATGCGCCACGGCGCCACGGCGAAGGAAGCTCCACTGACGCTAGAGCAAACCCCGACAATAGCGCCGGCTGCTATTCTTGCTCTGTCGCGTCCATGCAGCTGGCGGACAGCTTCCTTGCTGGTCGTCGGCCTCTCTGTCATGATCCTTCTGTGCGTCCCGATGAGCGGGCTCAGGAACACAGCATCGTCCTCGTACGCTGCATTCAATGCCATACTGTGTCTCGTTCCCGCTTCCAGAATCGTGCAGTGCTCACCATGCACGCCATGAATCAGGAGCGCTATTACCCCTGTACCACTTACCTCCTTCGTCGCGGCGGAGATAAATAGATGTCGTCGACCGCGGCTGAGACCCACCGAATACAGATAGTCTGCGGTACTATCAAAGGACATTGGCAGTTGGCCAAGGGCTGGCTTCAGAGACGCCGGGCGTCGTCTTCTGGCTAAACTTCCCCTTCAATCCCAGCAAGTCCCGTTGGCAGGTCGCGCAGCACAAGAACCACGTTCGGACCCGGCCCTGGTTGCGTCGGCCGTCGCATGGGGCGCGTGTCATATTTGGTGTAACTGAGCCCAACATCGAGATGGGCAAATCCTCCGCTGGGCGCCTGCATGTGAATCGTTCTCACCCTCGTCCTGTAAATTGGGGGTCGCAGGGCTGTGGAACTCACCCATGGAATGCATGGCTGCGTGTTGCTTCGGCTGGTCTCATTCCTGTTTTGCCCGGCAGCCGACCCTGCATCCAGACTATCATGGTCACTCCCCCCACGCGTCGTGTCTGCCAACCTGCAGACCGTCGTTGTCAATGTCCATGTCCGCGGCTGAGGCTGCCGTCTCTTGTGCGTGCTGGCCTCGCGTCGTCGACTAGGTTCTGTCATGACTCATGAAACGAGTGTTTCCTCATAGGCGCCGCCATTCCAGTTGTGCGAAGCGACTCCTCGCGGAAACGTATTCTTGAGCCAGGGTGCGGGTACACGCTTGACCTACCATGCTTCTGCGGCCCGCCGATCTTCTTGATAGAGGTCAGACTTTGTTTGTCCAGATGTATCACACCCCCAGCTCCCCGGAGTTTATGCATGTCGCACAGTGGAAAACGCGCCTCGTGAGCCTTTGTGCGCGCTCTTCCCCGCATGAAGGGCATGTTGCCCCAGAATGGCGGTTGAAACAACTTTTACGTAGCATCTCAACATGGCCTTGTCTGGTGGATGCTGCCTCGTATCTCGTCGTCCTTCTTGTCCTCACTCACATCAAACCGACCCAGAGATTTGTCACTCGGGCAGATGACCTCTCCTCTGATCCGGACGACCGCAGCTCTTCCGTACCTTCTAACATGGGAAAGGCATCTCCGGGACCAGCCATGGGCATGTGCTCTGGCTTCGAGGACAGCTGTTGCTCCCCTTTAGTTGGAGGGCCGGAACCGAAAGTTGGCTGGATGGCACAATTCGGAGAATGCGCCTCGCATATCTTCACAGCTTCCTCATCAGCGGCGGCTTGAAGAATCGTGTGCACGCTTGCTGGCCTTGGCCGACTAGGAAGCGCACATGCCGGTTCCTTTCCGTTACAAGGTGATGGGGTTCAACCCCATGGGCCTACACCCACGCCGACGAGTCCCCCACCCACACGACGTAAATAAAACGCCCGGGGCAGCGATTGCCGATGCGTCCCGATCGATGCCATTCGGCGCATGAGAACAAAGGATTCCTGAATGCCGGGCTGGTCCTGGTCGCGGTGCGAACAACCGCCGCTGCCATTTGGAGCTTCGGCTGTTGGCCCTTGGCGACACTTTGTCGAGCAGTTTATCCAATACTTTTCTAAGCAAACCGCGCTCAAAGATCTGTGGAAGAATCACACGACATCCATCGTGATTGGCCTTTCCAACGGCTCGATGTTCCAGTTTGCTGTTGTCTAACACCATCACACAACGTGCGCTTGGCCTCAGACCGGGGCCGACTATGTCGGCAGCCGCCACGTCGGGGAGTTTCGCAGCGAAGCCAGAGACGTTGTGCGCGACATTTTTGGATCCTGCGCTTGCTGGCGATCGTCCTGCGGCGCCTTGAGCCGTAGTGACGTCCTATGTGGGAGATGCGCCGCCAGCATGACCCGCAGTTACCTGACATCGGGCTGGGGCACACCGGCCTGGCCTAGCCAAGTGACTCACGCTGTTCTGGGAACAAGTAGTGGCCACCGAGCATGCATTTCGCCGAGTGCGCATCGCTTGGAGCTGTTTGACCTGACCAAGTGGCAGCTGTCCCCAGGGTTGATGGCGTCCTGGCTAGTCGACCTCGGTCCTGGGTACTGATCGCTGTTATACTTGTCATTGAGCTTTCATCTCTTACACCGCTCCGACAAAGGCAAAGCATCCCTGTTCACGGCCTCAACGTGGCTGCTCCGCCGGGCTGGCATGCTGAGGTGCCAAGCCGTCGTATCCAGTGCTTGTTGCTTGGGCGGAGTGAGAAGTACGGCATCCTATCGCGGGGTGTGGCGATGCAACAGGCAACCGAGCCTCGTCATGAGTTGTCTGAGCGAAACAGGGGGGATATCCCCCGACTCAGGAGCTTTCCGTGGAATGTCGATGATCTTGTGGTTGTCATTGGCTGCCGCCTGTCACAGTGATCATGAGGCCACCATCTCACCGTCCTGCAAATCACAGGCCCTTCCACACACACTTGCATCGATAAGATGCAGCTGTTGAACCCGGGGTTGCTGCCTGCCATTCGTGCTTTTCGCCGAGACAGCCGAGCATCGTTGCCCTTGTTCATAAGGCTGCAATTTGCACTGTGAGGGGAGAAGGGGTCGAGCAGCAAACATGATGCGAACACGGTTGGTTGGGAAGCAACTTACACATGGGAGCACAGGACAAAGAACAACAATGATGTGCGCCGATGTCTTCGCCTCGGGGACTGAAAACGTGTGTGCCCAACTGACTCGAGCGTATTTGCCGCGCCTGGGGTCGGCTTGCTCGCCAATTTTGTGACTGTTCTGCCGGGCTCACCAGAGAACCAACGCAAGCGAGTTGCACATCTCACGGCCGTGTCATCGCAAGGCATCGGGAGGTGGTTGATAGGTCATCTGGCCTCGTGATGGCTAGGACCAGTCACCCTTGCCCATTTGCTCGCATTCGATGAGCCGGCCAATGAGTGAAGGACGGTTGCTGAGGGAAACACGAACCCGACCAAGGCTCTGGGTGTTGTCTCCTCCTGTCCGAAGCTAAGACGAGCGGCCCATCAGCGATTAGCAGTGTCGGCGCGCGAATTCGCCGCTTTGAGTCGCACTCGTGAAGCCTCAGGCGCCATTGAAATCTCGAATCAAGAGTCTATGGACTCTGGAGCCACGCTTGCGTGGAATCGACCTGAAGCCAGGGCAATTGAGAAGAGAACCCGGGCTGTCGCACCCGTTAAGACTCAAATTGGTGTCCACCTGCACTCGGGCCAAGGCGTGGAGCATCCGGCCGGCTTCCTTTCACGACTCAAAGCAGGAATTGATCAAAGGGCCGTCCACTCGTGACCATGTGGGAGGGGCCGCCGTAGGGGAGCCGCTCTCAGATGCTGTATAGTTGGGCGTGGCCGCAGAGTTGGGCTGCACGGCACCTGCTGCTTTAATTAGCACTGAACTGCATGTATTGCCTCAACGCCTTACCTCGTATCAGGATTCTTCGTCCTGCCCAAGTACGAGGCGGCAGGAGACGGGTCGTAGCGTGACATCGCGACGCGGTCCAGCGAGCTAGGGCGAGATGCGGTCATCCCGTGAACGAGCACAGCATCTTGTACCGCTCTTTGCGTTCCGGCTCCGCACGCGTCCGCTCGGCTGTAGAGACGGAAAGGAAATTTGTTTCATGCGTGACTGTCGAACATCGACGCCGTGAGCGGATTCACGGAAGGACAGCCATTGACCAGGGAGCCCTTGCCTCAATTACACGGCCAGAGGAGCCGCAGTCACGTGATGTCATGCGTCATGTGACTCTCTGCATGGCTCGTTGACAACGGCAGCGCGAGCTTCGGAGTAATGCTACGAGCCTACGGGAAACAGCAGGTGCTAGATCATGAATTGCAAGGATTCTTTGGCTGGAAGTCGTAGACGGGCAACAGACGGATCACACCTCAAGCGCGCGCCGGGGCGTAAGGACTTTCGAGGTTCAACGTCTCGCCGCGGTATCGATAAGACTGTAGCGCATTCGCGCCCCAGCGCCTTTGATTCGCCGCCAACGCTCATCGCAGCTTTCACCATCGACGACTTTTCTCATCCTCCTCGTCGCAGCCAGGCACAACGTCACCATGACAAGCTTGAAGCGATCGCACGAGGCCGATCCTCTCGCGTCCAACATCTCCAGCAAGGTGTATGTTCGATCGACCCGCAGCGGCAAGGTCCAGAAGATTGTGCGAGAAGTCTACCTCCGAACGGACATTCCATGTTCCTCAAGAATCTGCAAGGCATGCCTCGAAGGCGCCCCCAGAAATGCCGCCGGCGAGGGTGAGTTCGATATCTAGCGCCCGTGGCCGGGTTCCGTGGCTGACCGTCGAAAGTGCTACCCTTCGTCCTCTCGGACAAGCCCGCGGGCACCAAGGCGTTTCCTCAAGGGCACTATCTGATCCCGGACACTAACGCTTTACTCAACGCCATGGACCTTTTTGAACAGAGCTCTTCATTCTATGATGTCGTTATCCTGCAAACTGTTTTGGAAGAGCTTCGAAACCGCTCGCTGCCGCTGTATAACCGACTCGTCGGGCTTACCAAGAGCGAGGACAAGCGCTTCTACGTATTCTTCAACGACTTTCGCCTGGAGACCTACATCAACCGGGAGCCTAATGAGACAGTCAACGACCGAAATGACCGCGCAGTCAGGCTTGCCGTCAAGTGGTACGGCGAGCATCTTGCCCGCACAAAGGCCAAGAAGATCCCCGCCATCGTGATGCTCAGCGACGACCAAGCCAACCTGAAAAAGGCTCGAGAGCAGGGTCTGCACGCCTCTACGCTCGCGGACTATGTAAAGAGCCTCGAGGATGGCGACAAGCTGCTCGACATGGTCGCCGAGTCGCAAAGCCAAGGCGGCTTCAAGAAGCCTGGGCAGATGCTCTACCCCGAGTACTACACCATGTCAAGGATGATGACAGGGGTCAAGGCAGGACTGATGCACCAGGGAATATTCAACGTGTCCCCGTACAACTACCTGGAAGGTTCGATAAAGGTACCGGCGTTCCCGAAGCCCCTCCTCGTCCTGGGCCGTGAGAGCATCAACCGAGCCATCGACGGCGACGTCGTCGTCGTGGAGCTCCTGCCTCAAGACAAGTGGAAGGCCCCGTCGACGAAAATCATTGAGGAAGACACCATCACCAAGAACGAAAATGCCGACGCCGAGGAGCGGGAGGATTTCGTGTCCGACAAGGAGCGCAAGGCGCTCCAGGAAGCAGTGAAGCGAACCCACAAGGCATCTTCGGAGAGCCTGCCCCAGCCCACGGCCAAGGTTGTGGGAGTCATCAAGCGCAACTGGCGGCAATACGTGGGCCACATCGACCCGTCTTCCGCCAGCCGGGCGTCAACACAGGGTCGCAAACAGGACAGCGTCTTCCTCATTCCCATGGATAAGAAGATTCCCAAGATTCGGCTCCGCACGCGGCAAGTGTCGGAACTTCTGGGAAAGCGCCTGCTCGTCACGATAGACGCATGGGACAGGGACTCGAGGCATCCGGTAGGCCACTTTGTGCGGTCTCTGGGAGATCTCGAGACCAAGGCTGCCGAGACGGAGGCCTTGCTTTTAGAGTGGGATGTGCAGTATCGGCCGTTCCCCAAGACGGTGCTCGACTGCCTGCCCAAGGAGGGCCACGACTGGAAAGTTCCGGCCAGTACGGACGATCCGGGGTGGCGAGATAGGGAAGACTTGCGTGGGCTTCTCATTTGTAGCATCGACCCGGTTGGATGTCAGGACATTGACGATGCCCTCCACGCAAGACAATTACCCAACGGCAACTATGAAGTCGGTGTTCACATCGCCGACGTCTCTCACTTTGTCAAGCCCGCCAACGCCATGGACACGGAAGCCAGCATCCGCGGCACCACCGTCTACCTCGTCGACAAGCGCATCGACATGCTCCCTCCCCTGCTCGGCACAGACCTGTGCTCGCTCAAGCCGTACGTCGAACGCTACGCCTTTTCCACCATCTGGGAGGTCAACGAGAACGCCGACATCGTCAACGTGCGCTTCACGAAATCGGTCATCAAGTCCCGCGAGGCGTTCAGCTACGAACAGGCCCAGCTGCGCATCGACGACGAGTCGCAGCAGGACGATCTCACCCGGGGCATGCGCATGCTGCTCAAGCTGTCCAAGAAGCTCAAGCAGAAGCGCATGGACGCCGGCGCGCTCAGCCTGTCGTCCCCCGAGGTCAAGGTGCAAATGGAGTCTGAGTCTTCCGACCCCATCGACGTCAAGACGAAGCAGCTGCTCGACACCAACTCGCTCGTCGAGGAGTTCATGCTCTTCGCCAACGTCAGCGTCGCTGCCAAGATCTACGAGGCGTTCCCGCAGACGGCCATCCTGCGCCGCCACGCGGCGCCGCCCAAGACCAACTTTGACGAGCTCGCCAACGAGCTGCGCGTCAAGAAGGGCCTCGAGCTGCGCACCGAGTCAAGCAAGGCGCTCGCCGACTCGCTCGACGAGTGCGTCGAGCCGGGCGAGCCCTTCTTCAACACGCTCGTGCGCATCATGGCCACGCGCTGCATGATGAGCGCCGAGTACTTTTGCTCCGGCACGCAGGCCTACCCCGAGTTCCGCCACTACGGCCTCGCGTCCGAGATCTACACGCACTTCACCTCGCCCATCCGCCGGTACGCCGACCTGCTCGCGCACAGGCAGCTGGCCGCCGCCATCGGATACGAGGCGGTGCACCCGTCGGTGCGCAGCCGCGGGCGCCTCGAGGCCGTGTGCAAGAACATCAACGTGCGGCACCGCAACGCGCAGATGGCCGGCCGCGCCAGCATCGCCTACTACGTCGGCCAGGCGCTCAAGGGCAAGGTCGCCGAGGAGGACGCCTTTGTCATGCGCATCTTCAGCAACGGCTTCGTCGTCCTGGTCCCGCGCTTCGGCATCGAGGGCCTGATCCGCCTGCGCGACCTCGCCGAGCCCGAGCCCGACAGCGAGTTCGACGCAGAGACGTACACGCTGACGACGAGCGGCAGCAGGGCCGTCAAGGTGGAGCTCTTCCAGAAGGTCAAGGTTAGGGTCCGCGACGAGAAGGACGAGGCCACGGGCAAGAGGGGCGTCAAGATGGAGTTGATGGATGCGTAGGACTTGGGTAATGGGCATCTCTAGGCGCATACAGTCAATAGATTGGGGGTTATCAATAGGACAGAATAGATGAAATTCATGATGGGAGCAGTTCAAGTCGCATTATCTTGGCACATGAGAGAACCTGATACGTTGCGCAAGCGTTGCCCACGATTTTCGCAACAAAGGACTTGGGCAACGTGATGGTGTGCCACGACGTATATGCAGACAGCAACACGAACAGACAGACGAGAGCAAGATGCGAATATGCCATAGAAATTGACACCATGTAATTATGGTCTAGTCCCGCCCAGCCGTAAACGCCAAACAATCTGTGAACAAAGATGATGCAAGCATTTCATCAACGATCCCGTATATCCCCGACTTGTTTGCCCTATCCCTATACTCTATTGCTCCATGACATCGACGTCGTCGGCGCTGCCGCCGTCTCCCCACAGGCCCTCAAGCTTAAACTCGGCGGCCCACTCGGTGACAATCTCCTTCTGGTCGGGCGCGACGGCGTCCTCGCCGGCGTTCTTGATGGCCGACTTGGCGGCGGTGGAGGCGCCGGCAGACTCTACGGGCAGGGTGGGCGGCTCGACCCAGCCCTGGATGCGGCCGTCGCGCCAGTCGGTGACGACGGTCATGGCGGCGGCGTTGATGTTGGGGACGCCGCCGCGGCCGAGGCGGCCTCGCTTGCGCGCGACCTGGACGAGGAAGTCGGTGGTGAGGTCGCCGTCGGCGCGGTTGGGGAGCAGGGCGGGGATGTCGTAGACGTCGGTGAGCTTCTGGATAAGCTCGGGGGTGGTGGAGAGGCGGCGGAGGAGGAGGGTGACGGCGGGGACGGGGTCGTCTATCTGCTTGGGCGGCACGGCGTTGAGCAGGATGAGGTGGGCGTGGGCCTCGGTGGCGTTCTTGAGGGACACGAGGCCGCCAGACTGGGTGGACGAGGACGACGGGAAGACGACACCGGGGGAGTCGAGGAGAGTCAGCTTGCTGTCGATCTTGACGGCGCGGATACTGGTCGTGACGCCCGCCTCGGCGCCGGCAGGGCAGGCCTTGGAGGAGCTGCTTCCCTTGCCGCTCATGCGACCCAGGAGTGCGTTGATGACGGAACTCTTGCCGACGTTGGGGTAGCCGATGACGCCGACGGACACGGCGCGCTTGAGCTGGCGGCTGGCGGCAAAGCTCTTGAGGGCCTTGAAGAGGGTCGCCGAGGTGCTCTGCTGCGTGAGGTCTCGGTGGTTGAAGGTGTGGGCGTTGGGGGCGCCGCCTGAGGCCCGCAGAGGCAGGGTGGGGAAGTAGCGGCGCAGGTAGATGAGCCAGTCGCGCAGGACCTTGGGGGGGATCAGATCGACCTTGTTGAGGACCAGGATGAGGCGCTTGCCACCGGCGGCGGCGGCCATGATGCTACGCTCAACCTCGCGGGAACGGGTGCCTTCAGGGTCGCGCGCGTCAAGGACGTAGAGGACCACGTCTGCCTGCTCGATGACCTGCTTGAAGACCTTGTCGTACGTCTTGCGCGACGATGCCTGACCGACCGACACTTCGTTAACACCGCCATCCTCTGAATCGTCGCTCTCGTCGTCCTCGTCCATGCCATCGCTGTCGGCAAGGTCGCGGTCGTACTGCGCGGCGGCGGCCCTCGCGCTGGCGAGCAGGGCAGCCATCGGGTTGGACTCGTCAATATCCTCGTCCATGTCGTCATCGTCGTCTCCGTCGATCAATTGGTCGGCCTCGGCGGCGTCAGCGTCGGCCATGACATCCTCGTCGTCCTGCTGTTGCGAGGTGCCCGTCTTGGCAGCCTTGGCCATCTCCCGCTTCTTCTGGAGTTCGGCGGCCCTGCGCATGCGCTTCTCCTCCATCTCCTCGAGCAGCTTCTCCTTGTAGGGGAACAGATTCGGGATGCCGGGGTCCTTCTTGAGCTTGGTGCGCCATTCTGGGTTCTGCTTCGCGAGCTTGCGCTGCTTGCGCTGCTTGGCGGCGGACTTCTTTTCGATCTTGTGCCGAAGGCGGGAGGTGCCGCGCTTGGACGTGGGCTCTGGGAGATGAGTTAGCGCGGGAGGTCTTGCCGACGGTACTGAGCGTAGTCCTCACTCTTTGGTTTGTTGATTGAGCCGGCCATTGTGATGTGTGGTCGAGTTGAAAACGTTCACTCGATGGCCGTCGTGAGGGCTGCGACGGGTTGAGGACGGGGGCGGCACCAAGCAAAAAAAATTAAGTGGGATGCAGATTCTGCCCGGCAGGCCGTTTTCCCCACACCAAGGCGGTGTGCAGACTCGGAGTGTTGCTCGCACTCTGGGCAGTCTTTATCCAGCCCAGGTAAGCGCCCCACTAGGAATCGCATTGTATTTTCAGTAGGTGCGCAGGACGCCAGATACAGACTCACTGCCTGCCTACTAAACCGGCCAAACCCCGCTCACTGCCTCTGCGCTAATGCGCCGTTGACAGCGAGCGGCTCTTATATCAAGAGGCTGCATACAAGGTAGAACCAGGTAGGGACGTCCAGGCTTCATAAGTAGGACTGGAATCTACAGCGCGATGAAGTGCGCTTCACTGTGATTGTTGTGTCTCTCAAGTCTCTTGTCATTGAAGCCCGTTGTGCCACAGTGCCACTCATCATGAGCGCGCCGCCTGAGCCATTCACTTACACCCCTCTCCCCGAGGACGGCGGCTCCATTCGCGTGGTCGAGCTCCTGCCGGGCGAGTTTGACGATGCCATTGAATGCGGCATCTTCGCCGCCGAGCTGGATTCAGGGCCATCTTACGAAGCACTGTCTTATACGTGGGGAGACGTACACAACACCACTCCCATTGCCATCGACGGACGCAGGCTACACGTCACGGCCAACCTGGCGTGCGCTCTGCGCTATATGCGACGGCCAGATGCCAAGCGGTCGCTCTGGATCGATGCCATCTGCATCAACCAGCAAGATGTTCGTGAGAAAGAACGCCAGGTCCGCGCCATCGCCACCATTTTCAAGCAGTCCACACAGGTCCTGGTTTGGCTGGGGGAGGAGCACGATCCCTTGATCCATCAGCACGGCCCTCCGCCCATGCCCATTTCAGAAGTCTTTGAGGTCATTTCAAACATTGCACAGGGAAAGAGCGTAGCGCATCTTGTAGGCGACAATCCCTGGATACGCTGGTCGCCCTCATTCCTGGATCTCCTGAAACGGGCCTGGTTCGGACGCCTGTGGGTCGTTCAGGAGACAGCAGTGACGGACAACCCTACGCTCATATGCGGGAAGTGGTCCATCCCGTGGCTACATCTATACGGCGCCCACATGAACTCACTGGCAGCATCACTGGGCTTTACAGCCAATGGCGCCGTGGCCATGAAGGGTGCCCTCGAGAACTACGATGCCTTGGTGAATTGCTGGACGTTTCATCAGTTCTGGAAGACCGACAAGGGTCTGGCCGAAGACGAGTTGGCCCGGCGGCTCCTACGCGTGCTCGTTGCGCTCAAGGGAAAGTTTCGCTGTTCAGACGAGCGAGACCGCCTATACGGCATCCTCGGCATGATATGCGCCCCTGACGTGGTCGTCTCCCTTCCCATCGAGTACGAGAAGAGCGCCACTGCCATTTTCAAAGAACTCGCAGTGTTTATGATAGAGTCGCGCAAGTCCCTGGATATCCTCTTTGGCGATCGCGTCAACTTTGACTCCTCAGAGTATCCCGGAAAGCCGTCGTGGGTACCGACGTGGAAGGCGTATTCGACGGTGACGCGCGGATTCTTCATGCCGCCGCACATCTGGAAAGAAGGGGAGGCGCAAGAACCCCGGCAGCCGGCCCTGGCCGACTTTCGATTCAACGAGGACCACAGCATCCTTTACGTCAAGGGCTCGATCGTGGGTGGTCTGAGCGGCATCGGGACACCGCCTCCCTACTACCCAAAGGATTCCGGAGGCAAAGAACGTCGCAAGGCACTCAGCCAGCTGCTTACCATGTGGGAGAATGAGGTGGTGCATCTGCCACCGCTTCGTGCCAAGGGCAGGGAGGATGAGTTCCAGGCGGCGCTCGGCGAGATGACGACGCTGTGGACGCCCGAGATTGTCCACACCCCGTCGTGGCGTGCCAAGTGGGCTTATCAGCGGGACGCAATCGAAGCATTCAGGACGACGCTCTTTCACACAGAGTGGCCAGGGTACCGCAGTCCCGTCTCACAGCAGCATTGTTACGAAGTCCTGCTCGGGCGCGGGGGCCCTCACGACGGAGATGAGGACACGGTGGAGTCTGAGATAGACGCATGGGCGGGCTTTAGATGGTGGGACATGAACGACATGGTCCCGTTTCGCCTTCGGGATGGCCAGTTTGGCATGTTCGAGGGTGGCATGGAGCTGTACTCGGGCCACGAGATTCTGATAGCTCTGTTTCCCGGCGGGCCTGGGCCAGTAGCTCTGCGCGCGGAGGAGACGGGGTTCCGGTTTCTGGGGTCCTGCTATGTCCAGGGTTTGGAGGATGAGGAGTCGTGGGAAGCCTTTCTCGATGGCAAGGAGAGCATGGAGTTTCCTTTGATATAGCGTGAGGTGCATCCGAGACAGTTTGAGAGAAGCTATCAATCCCTTTAGCGAGATCGTGGGGCAGCGAAACCACCAGAAAAGTATCTTGTTGCAGTTGCCGGTGTCTATTGATTGCTGTGGTGTAAATGACGAGCTCACGACATCTCATGATTCTTTGCAGGGGGTTGCTGGCTTTACCCGGAAGAGGAGAAACTTTGCTTGCGAAAAGCCACAGCAGGGCACCTCGTTTCTGGATTTGTCCATGAACATGCATAGAAAGAATTGCCAGCAGTTTTCTAAGTCGCGACTCGTCAGGTTCTCAGAGGATGTTCAAAGGTAAAGTCAGGCAGGTGACAACGCAGCGTGGTTGGCCGAGCAGACCACAAGTCGCCACTTTTCTCCAGGTTTCCACCGGTGTCTCACCGCGGTGAGCAGCCTTGCACACCTTGGCACGCAGTTCGCCCCGACTAGTCGGGTCCCGCCAACTTTTGCCCAGACGTCGCGCGACATCAACCACGCATCCCTCTCGCCGTGCCATCACCCGCCCTGCCAGCCTCACCGTTTCCCAGCTCCATATATCGCGCAGGCCGCTCCTACCGAACACAAAGGAACAAACCAGAGGAAACCAGAACAACGTCCTTGGAATAGCAACAGGTCGCCGCGCCGTCAAGCCATTTCACACAGCCGGCTTCTCTCCTCGGACCGTCTCGTCTCGTCCACACGCGCGCACGCGCGCTCGTAAAACCGAACCTCCGTTCGTTCCCGACACACGATCCCGCAGCAGCCAAAGGAAGGGAAAAGACAAGATGGACTACCAGAACCGCGCGGGCTCCAAGTTCGGCGGCGGCGGCGTCGCGTCGCACTCGGCCACAAACGCCGACCGGCGCGAGCGCCTGCGCAAGCTCGCCCTCGAGACCATCGACCTCGACAAGGACCCCTACTTCTTCAAGAACCACGTCGGCTCCTTCGAGTGCCGCCTCTGCCTGACGGTGCACCAGAACGACGGCTCCTACCTCGCCCACACGCAGGGCAAGAAGCACCAGACCAACCTCGCCCGCCGCGCCGCCCGCGAGCAGAAGCAGGGCAGCGCCAGCGCCGGCGGCCAGGCGGGAGGCGTGGACCCGGCCACGGGCCTGCCCGTCGGCGTCGCCGCGGGGCTCGCCCGCCGCAACGTCGTCAAGATCGGCCGCCCCGGCTACAAGATCACCAAGATCCGCGACCCGCTCTCCCTCCAGCAGGGCCTGCTCTTCCAGCTGCAGTACCCGGACGCGCCGCCCGACGCCGCCCCCAAGTGGCAGGTCATGAACGCCTTCACCCAGCGCGTCGAGGACCCCGACAAGAACTTCCAGTACCTCGTCGTCGCCGCCGACCCCTACGAGACCGTCGGCTTCAAGATCCCCTCGCGCGAGCTCGACAAGCGCGAGGACCGCCAGTTCTCCTTCTGGGACCCCGACGCCAAGGAGTTTTGGATCCAGGTCATGTTTATGACGGAGCGCGAGGAGCGCTTCAACGCCGCGCCCGGCTTGTCGGGAAGGAAGTGAGCGAGGGCGCCTGAGAAGGAAACCACATACCAATACCGGTGTCGAAGTGGCGCAGCCGTTGCTCGTTCTCATATCTTTTGGGGCTATGATAAACACGGCCCGCGGTTAGGCTGGCGCTTACGCGCCTTGTTTCAAGACTGGTTCACCAAAGGAACAGTAAGGGCACAGCCCAACACTTAGGCTCCGGGGCACTTACTGACGGACCATCATCAGTACATTGGGTTAGGCGTTTGGAGTCATTGGTTTGCAACATCACTCGCTCGTCTCGGCAGATTCCAGCCGGCGCTGTGAGCATAGGGTCAGCTTGGTGCTGGTGGACTGCAACCGTGCTTCTTCTCGGCGAGTTTGGCATATCTGGCACCGCATAACGGCTTTGGCTGCGCCTGGCAGCCCCTAGCTAGCTACATACCACACGACATGTCCCGTCGGGGATTGTTCGCTGAGCATCTACATTCGCCCGAGTGCCCTAACGTGCCCTAACACCCATCTTGATCTTGTAACTGGCTGACAACGAAATGTGTATGACGAGTCGTAACACTCTACGTCTTTTCACGCATATGCTGATGCAAATCCCCCTCTTCGTCCATGAAAACACCCACGGCCGCAGCCCAGCTGGCCAAGTCCTCGAGAATGCACAGCCGCCCTGGGTGGCGCCCAGAATTCCTTCAGCCTCCGCTTACCGAAAGTTGTTATCAAATCGCTTGAACGTGTAGCCGATGAAGGGCAAGCTCATCTCCGGCGACTCCTCAGGCTGGCCGCGGTTGTTCTGCATGGCCTGGGCCTTGAGCACCGTCGCGTTGTCTGTCTGATCGATCTCGTCTGTGGGGAAGTACGTCGTGTCGATGTTGGACGTCAGCCGCGGCTCGAATGGAGCACGGATGCGGCGCAGACTGTCAAAGTCGACGCCACGGAAGAAGGGGTGGTTCTTGATCTCGTGTGCGCCACCACGGCCAAGACGGTTCTCGGTATTGCAGACCATGCTAGTGGCTTGTGAGCAATACATCATGACGGGTTAGACAGGGAGTGGGCACTGACCTCCGGATCAAGTTCTCAGCCTCGACACCCAGCGTGATGTCGTCGGGGAAGTACAGCGTCTGCCTCCAGTTGACAATCTTGCGGTACGTGTCGTGGCTGTCCTCGGCGCAAAACGGCGGCCAGCCCACAAGACACTCAAACATGATTGTGCCCAGAGACCACCAGTCGCAGTCGAACGAGTAGCCGTGGCCAGTGAAGATCTCGGGCGCAATGTAATCGGGGGTGCCGACAGTCGAGTACGCCATGAGTCTGCGCGACCGCCGCCAGTCGTTGATTTGCGATCGGTTGCTGACGGTCAAGTTGATCTGGTCAATGGCAACAGAGTTGCGGTCGCGAGGGCGGTTCGACTTGCCCTGCAGAAGCTGCTGGTAGTAGTTGTTGTCATGAAGTCTGTGGAAGCCAGTAGACAAGCCGAAGTCTGTCAACTTGACATGACCGCCTCGGTCGAGCAGGATGTTGTCGGGTTTGATGTCGCTGCTGCTTGTTAGTCGCAGTTGGTTTGCGGCGCACATCAAGGTTGCACGTACCGGTGAATGAAGCCGAGCTTGTGAACGGCCTCGATGGCCAACACGATTTCCGCAATGTAGAACCGCGTAATGTCCTCGGAGAAGATTTCGTACTTGATGAGCATTGTCATCAAGTCGCCACCAGGCAAAAACTCCATGAGCATGTACAGGAAATACGAGTCTTGAAAGGTGGTGTAGAGCTTGACGACCCAGGGACTGTCGGATTCGGCGAGGATGTCACGCTCTGACCGGACGTGAGCAAGCTGATCCTTTCTGAACATTTCCGTCTTGATGAGAGACTTCATGGCGTAGACCTTGCCGTCGCCCTTCTTCTGAACCAACTTCACCTCTCCAAAGGCACCCTTGCCGATGATCTTGACCGTGGTGTAGTTCTCGGGCTTGTCCTTGGTGCGGAGGAAGCGGAGGTATTGGCCCTCTTTTCGGCCTGCCGTGGACCAGAGCTGCTCTTTGCGAGCGGGGTTCTGGCCCGGATCTTGAAGCTTCAGCTCCAGTTCGCTTTGTCTGTTCCGAGTCTGCGTAAGTATGGACGAAGGGTCTCTCATAGTAGCGCGCGGACGGGGGTTCTATACCTCTGGTTGCGCTCACGGGCACGCTTGACGCTGTCCTTGAAGAAGTCCGTGGCCAGCTGCGAGCACTTCTTCTGGTTGCTGTTGGCATTTGTGCCGTACTTGTCGGGGTTCCGCTCCGGAGCAGACTGGAAGATCTCCGCTGGGGGCTGGCTCTGCGTGGGCATGGGCGGCGCATTCACGTAGGCGCCGTACGGGCCCGGCTGTGCGCTTCCGCCCGCAGTCCTCGGACGCTGGCCAGACGGGGGGCCACGAGGAGCATATTGGGCGCCTCTGGCTGCGCCGCCGCCCAAATTCTGATGGGAAAACTGATGGGCTAGGCCGACGTTCGGGTCATTGGTACCGGGAGTATTGGATCGTGCCTGGTAGACGCCATTCTGGGCGTGGGCGTAGTCGTTGGTGACGGCCTGGGCGGGATACGGGGCAGCATAGCCGGTCTGCGCCTGGGGGAAGTACCCCTGGGGTGCGTAGCCACCGTAGGCCTGTTGATGCGCCTGCATGCCACCTTGTGGGTGGTTCTGCTGTTGATGATGTTGCTGCTGCTGTTGCCCCGCCTGGTTCGGGAAGACGGGCTGGGGAAAGGTTGAGGGCGTCGTCGGGTATGCCCGGTCGTTTACGGGGAGGCGGTCATTGTTCCCGAAGTTGAGATGCAGGCGATTGTTGTTGGCGTCCATGGTTCCGTCCGGCTCGGCCGAGCACGAGATGCAATGCGAGAATTGGGCGAGAACGTCGGGCGAGCAGTGGTGCTGTGGCAAGTCTGTCGGTCCCGGTCACGCCTTTCAGGGAAGCTGGCGATGCGGCGAAAGCAGTCAATGTCGTCGCGCGTCGAGGAGGGCCAAGAGGAGAAGAGGCTCTCAGGGATGGGACAGGGTCGGGGGAGGTTTCGTAGGTGAGGGCCCGGGTGGCCTGGGTCAAGACTCCGGCAAGGCGATCCGAAACGAACGAGGTGCGGCTCTGGAAAGCGAGACAATGGGCGGGCAAGGTTTCGTTCCACCTGTCGCGTCTTGACCTGGGGCCCTGCGGGAAGGATTGGACTTTGATGCCAGAACGAGGTGGTGCGAGCTGGGACGGTGGAGGAGGAGCAACGTTGAGGGGCAGCCCGAGCGGCTTTCATTCCTCAGCACAGGCTGGGCTCTGTGGGGGGAGTTCTCCTTGACCTGAGGGGAGGGGGGCGGCTGCGGCCAAGCGGCGGGAGCGTCGCCAGGTGGGGTGGGGACGACAGGAGGGATAGGGGGCTGCCAGCAGCTTAACGGGGGACGGGCACAGCGGGCAGCCTGCCATTGCAGGAAGGTGGCAGAGAGGGACGGGAGGCGAGGTGAGGTGCCCGTCTGGCGAGGTGGAGCCCTGGAGCTGCTTCGGTGGCACCAGCAGGGCTGCCACCTGAGTTTGGTGAGGGTGCGGTGGCTACCCGTCCGGGACGGCGCTGAGGTGGTGTTTGGCCCAGCAGTGGGCACCGCCTGTCGGTGGTCAGGCGGGCAGCGGTAGCGGGAGCGTTAGCGGCTGTTGGCGAAGGCGCCGAGCTGGCGGTGAGGGCTCACGCTCCCGTGCAGCGTCCCGCCAGGGCAGCCCAGGGCAGCCCAGGGCAGGGTTCCAGCAGGTGGGAGGGCTGGAACCCAGCGGGATGGAGGGGAGGTGCCTTCAGGGGGTGACGCTCGTCTTGGCTCACCTCCCGTCGGCCAGGGAGGGAGGTGGAGGGTCCGTCCCGGTCCACTCCCGCGAGCTTCCCAGGTTGTCTCTCACGGGCTCATGTTTCAAGATGTCCGCCGTGCAACCACCACCGTTTGTTGGCTGCACTATTATGTACCTGGCTTTTGTTTACCGCGCCCAGTCAAGCTCGATCGTTTCCTCGTCTTCTCACACACGTTCGTCGACTCAATGCCACATTCCTCGAGCCCACGGGCCACGGGCTCTCCCTCACCGGCATGCGCCCCCGGGCTTCCCCGGCCGGCCGGGCCTCGACTTGTGCGACCAACACAGGCTCGACGAAACCCAACGGCGGAACAGTCCACTTGCCGCGGCGTAGGGGCCAGCCAGCCAGCCGCCAAAGACGGGGCGGGCGCTCCCCGCTTGGACTCGCGTTCCTGGGCTTGAGATTTGCGTCGGGGGAACTTGGACCTCTCGCTCTCGCTCTCGCGGTCATCAACCGTGTTTGTTATGATGCTGCCGCTCCCTGAAGCCGAGTCAAGGGAGCGTAGATATCGGCACGCGCGAGTCAGGGTCTCTCCGACTTCAGTTACGGATGGTATCACTGCCTTCGGAAACCAGTACTCCATGCCGAGCAACACCGCCTTGTCACATCTGGTCCTCCAGTCGGAACTTGACGATCTGTGGGCACCGTCGTTCCCAGACAGGTTCCGGCAGAATCATATGCTTTACGCCTTTGCGAACAACCTGCGAGCGGCGCATTGGCTTTCCCCGCGTCCCACACTTGTCCCCGTCTGTCAGGCAACCCTATCTTCCGCCTGCACGTCCTGGCGCCCACCTCGTACGACCGCCTCTGCGGGGTCCTTCATCCGTTGTCTATATGTATGCCTTTGTGACCATGTGCTCTGTGTATCAGGGTCAGGCCCTGTTCAGTCCTGCCACGCTGCTCCTAGTAGACGAACACGAGGCGTTCATTAAGTCGGCAGCTACCTGCAGGATGCTGCGATGCAACGTGTCGAACGGCACTACGGAGCTTGGTCATGCCGGCAGGCCTTCCCGAAGCCGCGTAGAAGGAAGCCAAGTCTCCCAACAGCCCTTGGCGGGTAAAAGACATTTCTTCTTCATGATCCACGGGTCTCAGAACTTGTAATTGATGAGAAGACTAAAGAACTATTGTGACTTTGGTACTCGCGTCAATATACCGCCAGAGAGAAAGGTGCCCTTTTAGCGGCCGTTACCACAAGAGTGAAGACCGAGAGCCGTGGGCGGACTGGGGCAGTGTAGGTCCCCGTCTTGTAAATTCTAGCAGTGTAACTCGTGCAGCTGCAGCCCCGAAGCAAACGGAGCCGCTTCCATCGGAGTGGTAATTTTCCACTCCGGCCCGCCCATCTTATCGGCGACGCTGGGCCACCTTATCGCGCCCATTTTTTTCCCTCCCAAAGCCGACATCCACCGAGCCCGTGGACGACGCCGCGGCCACGCCTGGGGACATTCTTCACATTCTCCCTTTTCAATCCCCCGCCCTCCTCTCTCCCCGACTCTGCACGCGGCAGCGACCGGTCCCGCCGCCGCATGATGTACGTCAACACCGAAGCCAAGCCCGGCTCGCCGGCGCTGCGCATGCTGGGTCTGCCCAACCTCCCGCGCAAGCTGCCGTCGCGCAACTGGATGATCTTCTGGGCCGTCACCGGCGCCTTCACCACCGCCATCATCTACGACAAGCGCGAGAAGAAGCGCGCCACGGCTAAGTGGCGCCTTGCCGTCGAGCCGCTCTCCCGCGAACCCATCGGCCAGGCCAGCCAGCTCCCGCGCAAGCTCACCATATACCTCGAGGCGCCCCCCGGTGACGGCCTCCGCATCGCGCAGGACCACTTCATCGAGTACGTCAAGCCCGTGCTGTCCGCCTCGGGTCTGGACTGGGAGTTTGTCCAGGGCCGTCAGCAGGGCGATGTCAGGGCCGCCGTCGCGGAGAAGATCCGCCGGTCGAGGATGGCCGAAGAGCGGCCCGACGCGGAGCTCGCCAAGACGGAAGAGAGCATGGTCACCGACCTGAGGAAACGAATGGGCGTCCCCGAGTACGAGGGTGTCAAGGGCGACATTGTCATCGGGCGACACACATGGAAGGAGTACATCCGCGGCCTGCACGAGGGCTGGCTAGGTCCCTTGGATGCGCCGCCCCAACCCGAGCCGCCGGTCGCCGAGACGAAGCCCGCGACCTCGGACGACGCCAGCTCTGATGAAGCTACGACGGAGAAGAAGGAGGAAGAGAAGAAGGACGAGAAGCCATCGCGGCCGCCGCAGCCGCTTCCATACAACACCACAGACGACTACACCTCCGCAACCCTCCCCGTGCACATCCCCTTCGAGTTCTCGCCCTCTACCCCCATAGCCTTCCCACACCGCCTGGGCTTCAGGCACACCTTTGTCCGCCTCGGTCGCTTCCTCAACCGCCGCAAGCTCGCCGACAGCATCGGCCGCGACGTCGCCGCCGTGTGCTTCGCCGCCGCGCGCGAGTACCGCGAGGCCGACGGCCAGTTCGAGCAGCAGCTCCTCCTCGAGCGCGAGGAGAGCGACTGGCCCAAAAGCACGTGGAAGGACGAGGCGCCCGCCGCCGAAGACGACGGGAAGCCTGCGGAGCCGCCCAAGGAGAAGATCTGGACGTCGCCCATTGTGCTGGACCAGCGCATCAGGGAGCGCATGCGCCGCTTCGAGATCCAGCCCGAGGATGAGGCGCGGGCCGCCAAAATTGTCGTCCCCGAGGAGGAGATTGAGGGCTGGGTCAAGGGCAGCCTGCGGAGCCTCTGGCGATGGGGCGCCAGCTCCTTTGAGGGCAAGCCCAAGGGGCCCAACCTGGGCAACCTGGACGACGACTGAAGGCTGCGTTAGGTCCTGCTACCTTATGCATCAGTCGACTGTATCATGTACCATATCATATGTCCCATCACGGGGGGCGTTTTGTATACCAGTGGAGAGGCACGGAAAAGCATCCTGTTGGCATCATAGAGGCGGTCACGTCAATCCATCTACTCTAATCAAGCATGCAATCTCATCGTCGCACAAGCTGTGACCTCATTAGGTGTATCTGTTTGGTGCTACTCGTGCTTGTTCGACGTGTGAAGGCAAGGCAGGGGGGTAGTTACTCGTCGCTGTCGTCCGAGCCATAGTCCACCAGCACCGAAGCCTTCTTCGCGGGTTCCTTTGCCGCCAGCGCCGCCCCCTTCTGCGTCTCGCCGCCCTTGTCACGCTCAACCACCCCAGCCGGCGGCCCCTCTCGCGCCGTCGTCGCCGTCGCCGCCGCGCCCTCACTCGTCCTCCTCCTCACGCCCTTCAACCCCCCCTCCCTTTCCCTCTCCCTCCCCGCCCTCTTCCTCTTCCGTCCCCCCGTAGCGGCCCATTCCTCCTCGACGGCCGCATCCCCGCCGCCGCCGCCCACATCAGCGGCCGTCGTCGCCGACAGCAGCAGCTGCTGCTCGCGCTCGCGCTCGCGAAACGCCCGCAGCCCCTCCTCCGTCTCGCGCCGCACCGCCTCCTCCTCGCGCCGCTGCCGCGCCCGCACCTCGTCCAGGAACTGGACCTCGTCGTCGTCGAGGGCCCGGAACTGGTTCTTGAGCCGGTTGGCCTCCTCGAAGGCGGCTTGCTTGGCGGCTGTGCGTCCATGGGGGTAAAACCCCTCGCCCGTTAGCCAAAAAACCCATACCGAACTAGATATCGATTACAACGCCCAGCGTGAGGCTCTCGCCTATTGTGGCGCTGTCTGCTCTCTCAAGTCGCGGAAAGGAAGGGAGGGGGGTAGCAAAGGGGGGAGGCCAAACCTTTGTTCGCCTGCAAAATGTCGTACAGCGACTTCTCCTCCCCGGACGCGGCCTTGTGCCGGGCCTCCTCCCTGCGCTTCCTCTCCGCGTCCAGCTCCTTCTGCACTGCTTCCCACTCGATGTTCTTGGCGAGGCGCTGTGCTGATGGTTGTTGCTGTTGCTGCTGTCCGTCCCCTTGCTGTTGTTGTTTCTGTCCCCCGTCCTGGGGTGACGCCTTGCCGCTGTCGTCTTTGTACGGCTCTCCGGTGGGACCTATCTTGCCCCCGGAGACGAAATGGCTGGACATTCTTGCTGGCTGGCTGTCACGCCGCCAAGGGGTGTTCCCCCCTTCTCACCTCAGCTCCGTTGGCGTAAGTCCTCGGTCGCGCTGTAAGATGATGCGATGAGCTGGCTTGCAACAGCCCACGGTGCCGTGATGTCTTTGCGAAGATAATTTTGCTTCACGGCTCGATTGCCAATGGTAGTATAGTAAAAGAGGGGCAATGGGCTTTTAGGCTGTTGCGGCTCGATGGTCGAGCATCTGCCGCAGACAGTTGAGCGTCACCTGAATGCGAGTTCGTCGTTCACCAATACGAAGTCAACTTACGCAGTCCGCCTGTAGGTTCTTAATGTTTGGGGCAGGACTCAGCACAACCCGCAGGCCAAGAATAGCCGACAATCACCCGCCATTGCCGCCACCCTTCCTTCGTCAAAACATCACAACCCAAGTCTGGACACATGCACTTGGCACCAAGAGGAGCAAGACTGATTTATCGACAAGTATATTTTCATTTATTCTTTTGTATCATGGGAATTGCAGCTAGCAGTGCCAGGTAAGCTGTGGCGGATTTGATGTGTGCCAGCTCCATTCCCGTCCCACACTCCCCTCGCCTCTGCCGATTTCCACGGCGTTTCGAACAATGACGTCTCTGAATGCTTTATATCCATGCGTCCGCAACCTGCCGCAGACCCAAGCAGGGTTTAACGAAGCAGGCCAGCCTTGAAAGCCGAATGCGTATGCCGCTGAGCGAAGGACTCGAGATAGCGTGTTCCCCACAACAGATGCCATCGCACCCGCTGCCCTCAGGAAAACGAACCCGTCGCCGTGACGAGGAACGTCAGGTGAGCGGGCACCGGCGCCAACAGAAACGGGACAATAAAACCAGGACAGACGCGCAACAAGCCGCCAAATCGCAGATCCGTGCATTTCTACCGAATGCCAGTCCGTGGAAAACCAGACGTGAAGAATCTCGTCGAGAAACTGCCAAAGAGCGCCAAGCAGGCTGAAGCCGAAACAGTCCATCTGACTTGGTTGGCGAAAAACGACCGGCTGACGGCCCAAGAGAACACAAGCCCCCCAATGCAGTGCCATGGGTGAAGAAAGAAAACACAACGTGCCCAGACCCCGTTTTCCCGCTGAACGCAATGCATGAAAAACCGTCTCATCAAACCCCATTTTCCTCGGTAGACGTTCGCGTCCACCTGCATTATCGCAATGCAATATGTACTGTCCCTGAACTTTTTTGATGCTGAATCGCATCATGATGCGTATCGTCGTGACCAGCGCAAACTCACTCCGGCCATGTTCGGCGCCCAATGATTCGGCTGGGCACCTGTGTCGCAGTTGACGTTGGTGCATCTTGAATCGATTCGATGGAGGAAACAAAAGAAACCCAAACATCACGGCCGTGTGACGCTTTGAGTGCGTCACAAGCCCGCTCCCGAACCATCTGCCGAAATCGGCAGGCTGGTGATTCAGCGGCGACACCAAGCTTCATATGCACCGTGGTCGCAAACCGGGCGGGAGTAGTCGTGAAAAAAAAAGAAGAGTAAAACCAAGGTCTATCGCGAAGATCCCAGAATGTTGGGGGAAACCAAAAACGCCAGATGTGCCATTAAGAACGTGTACCAGTGGAAGGCTGTCGCTCCATCATGAGAGGCATCGTATAGGGTGCGATGCAGACGTCGAGTCAATGTCGGCCCGTGGCAAACTTTTTGTGACTCCGGTCAGACGCAACCGCCGCTACATGATTGACGACAGACTCTGAATAAGCTACGAGCCAGCAGCTCGTCGCGTCAACATTCTTTTCTCGTGCCGGGGTATCAGAAAGTAAAAAGTCGTTCCTGTAAAAGTGAAGAAATTCGTGGCCATTAAAAGTCAAATGCCTGGCTCCAGTTTATGTGTCTTCGGAAGGCAGATGTAAGGTTCGCTCGTTTGTTGACGACGGGAAGATCTCCGAACGCATTGCCGGCCCGGGCTTCACCCCACAACGGGCTGTCCATAGCCATGGGCCATGAAGTATGGCGCCTGTTGCTTCATCGGGGTCATGCAGGTCTGGCAGTTGCATTCAGCGAGACTGTGTTGCTCCCACATGCCCTGGTTGTAGGCGTAATGCCCAGGGTACGGGGTCTGCCGGTTGGGGTAAAACGCATTGTGAGCGGGCGGCTGCGGGTACCGGTTCGTGTACTGGGCCGTAGCCTGAGCGAACCACTCGTTGTACCGAGCATTGCTGGAAGTAGCGGACATGCCGTAGTCCGGAGTACCATAACCAGAGTCTGGAGGGGTCAGAGGCGCGCTCCAAGGGTTGTGCGCCCAGGCGGCATCCCGTGCCCGGTAGGGTCGCTGTTGAGCCTTGATGGCCTGGTAGCGCTCGTACTCGGCAACTTGCTCCTGGATGTAGCGAGAGTGGGGAGACTGGCGGTTGTTGTGATATCTCGCAAGCTCCGTGTCGATTGCGGGGACCAGAGAGGCAAGCCTCTCCCGACTTGCCTGCACCGCCTGGCGCTTCTTCATCTGCTGCCAGTCTCTCCAGTTCTCAAGCCACGCCTGATAATCCTTGCTGAGATCCAGGTTGACGTAGAGCCTCCAGCTCATGGCCTGAACCCAGTCGAACTCGAGGGAGTTGAGCTCCGACACGGCAATGCCGCTGACCTCGGACCAGGAGCGATTCTGGAACGTGTTGTCATCAAGGAACTTGCTGCCCAGGAGAAGCGAGACCGTGAGGTAGCGCCAGACCTGACCCTCCGAAGCCTTGTACGGCCCCTGCTCCTTCATCGCGTTGATCCGCTTGGCGAGATAGTTCATGCCAAGGAGGATCGTGGTGCTCGGAAGTCTCGTCGAGGTGAGGATCTGGGAGACAAACTTGCGAAAGGGCGTAGAAATAGCCGCCTCCGGAGTGACCACTCGCGTAGCCATCTCCGCAACGTATTCAGCCATCATGTCGACCTCATAGTCGAGGACGGCACAGACTCCACCCGGCATGATGACGGTGTTGTGGAATCCGACGAAGATCGGGTCTCGATCTTTGTCGGAGGGGAATCTCTTGGCGCAAGAGACTCAGTGGCGTGGGTGAATCACACGGCACTGATGGCGCTGTCTCGGGGCCACAGAGGAGGAAACGTGAGAGAAGGGAAGAATCGGTAGGACCTTTACTCGGAGCGTCGAGCCATTTACCGCTGAAGCTCAGACTGTCGTGCAAATGGAATGCTGCCGTAGACTGTCAAATGTTCGGTGATGGCCCAGGACCGAGGCGGAAACGAGAGGTGCGGGTGAAGCGAGTAGGGCACCGCTATATTCGAATCGTGCAGAAACAACCAGAGTGAACTGGTAGAAAAGCGATTTCGAAGCCCGAGGACGGGACGGAGGAGAGGCACACTGTAGCCGCTGTTAGTATACTGTGCACGCAGGATGAACAGCATCGCCACATGAATGTCACGACGGGTCCGTGTTGCCTTCGGCTGGCCAAAGCATGGTCATTGTGCGGATGGGTCATGTCCACGCCAAAGCCAAGCAGGACAGCGCACCCGCACATCCTTTCAACGAGCCATGTGCCTGCAGCAGGCAGCATGTCTATGCCATGATCGAGTTGGGGTTCTGTGGCGGAGCCGACGCGCTGACAGCTCCAAAACAGTCTCCAACAGATCCGCGACAAGACATGCTGGGCAAGACGGCGATCGTAGCATCGTTGTCGGTCGGTCGGGCGTGTGCCGAACGTAGGAAACAAGACACGGCTCGTGTTGAACTAAAGCTTACCTCGAGGGAAGAAGGGTCGCCCAGCGAGAAGAGAGTCGAGCCCGAGAGCGTGGTATCGCGCGACTGAGCGTCGTTGATAACCACAACGCTGCACGTTCGGCGAGGGAAGGAGGCACAACGGGGGGGTGCCGACAAATCGCTAAACGGCGGGCGGGCGGGCGGCGGAAGCCTCGCGCGAGGGACCGGAATCCGAGACGTCAGCGAACGATGGCAAGTTCGTGACTGAAGTTGTCGAAGGAGTCGGCGGATTCGGTTGTCGTGGAGGAGTGAAGAGGACGACGGGAGAAAGGAAAAGAGAGGAGAGGGTTGGGGAGGAGACTGGGAAGAGGAGCGAGGCGACCGGGGTGCATTCGTGGAAGCATCAGTAAAATGGGGAGGATGGGATGGCGAGGATGATGAAGGCTACGGGCGGCACAGCCGGGTGTGTCAGTGGACAACAACAGGGCAGGGCACCACCGTGGCGGGTACGGCTTGGACGGGCACGGGTACGGGTACGGGTACAGCGCTGCAGTAGGGGTGGGCCACGGCGCCGACAGGTACCTGAGACGATTTTTCTTCTTTTTTTTTTTTCTTTCCCCGGTCCCCTCCTGGGCTTGTGTTTGGCTCGGGTGGCTCTGGGCCCCATCCTTCAGGCGCTCTGGCGGGTGCGCCTGGGTGACCGCACCATCTGGGCAGCAGGCGTTGCAGGTACCGGGCCCGTACAACGGTACGGACAGGTATTTGGCGCAAATGGGGGGAGGCTGAAAAGGAGGAGCGAGGCCCCCGCTTGAGGCGAGGCGAGGCGGGCGGCCATTGGCTGCGGCCGGGGGTAATGCCTCATGTGCTTGGATACGTACCCCGTAAACGCCGCGGGCCAAGTACCCCGGTACGGGCGTTCGTTCCTGAGGGACGGACGGACGAAGGGGGGGTGGGCAGGGTGACGGGGGCGATGATGGTGACGGGGTGACGGGGTGACGGGGTGACTCGGGCAGGTCATAAGTCATGGTGCGCCAGGGCAGCCGCCATTGGACGGTCCTGCCCGCCGGCCTCCTCCTGTGCTGTGCATGCTGTGCAGCCTGTGCAGCCTGTGCGGCCTGCCTGTGCTGTGGAGCCACACCCACAGTGCCCCCCAGGTGGTGCACCGCTCGGCTGGGCTGGGTGCGCAGGTTGCGTGGGCAGGGCCCAGCAAGCCCTGGCCAGACCCCTGGGTGTCCGGGCATGGTGTCTGTCTCCTGCTGGCCTCCCAAGCCCCCCGTCAAATGCCTCCAGGGCTCCATTGAGGCATGGAGCCCTGGAGGTCGCCTCCCCACCGGGCTGGCACCGGCGCGCGGCTGGGCACTGCAGTGCACCTGCCTGGGCGCACTCGTCTGCGTCACCGGACATGGCCCTGACCTGCAACTGGGAATGAGCCCGGGCGGCCGGCAGGATTGGGGGAAAAGAGGTCGGGTGTGTGGAGCGCTCGCCACCGCCTTGTTGGCAGCCATTCCGCCCCGTCACCCATTGAATTCATGGTCGCACCAGCAGCTCGCTCGCAGCTCGTCTGCTGCCCAGCGAGCACCGCCGTGTCTCCTGGACAGAATGCACGGTCACCCTCCCCGCCTCGCTGACGGTGTGCCTGCGCCTTCCCTTTTTGTCGCCTCATGCCACCAGCAGCCCGACGTCCCAGCCCCAGCACCGGGCAGGCCGCTTCACAGACGGAGAACCAACGCGCTCAAACTTCAACGGGTCGTCGGGTCCCGTTGCTGACGGACCATCGAGACAATCAGAAGTCCGGACTCCATCGAGTGTGCCAAAATAGAAACGCTGGATGATGAACGGCCCGGCACGATCACACGGTCATCACTCTCAATCAAACGACCCGGGCCAGGCAACGGCTGACGGTGTCTGGCCTGGCGTGTCCATCGTTGTCCCAGGAGGCAGGGGGCTCTGCAATGGCTCCGATACAGCACCACGTATTACTCCGTACGAGGGACTCGGGCCACAGGCAAACAGATTGTTCCGCATTACGACGACGACGACGACGGCCACGACGATTCGATGTGGTCGGCGGAATGTTCCCACTGCCCACCAAGACCAGATAACGCAAAAAGCCAAAGCAGCAGCAACGCCGCGCAGTCGCCTGATGTGACGCAAACGCAGGGTGTGGCAAAAGGGCCGTGAACGAGTGTCGGCACCGTGGCTCTGCACTTGAATCAATCAATGACGGAGACACGCGCTTGTCCGAGAGTCAGCCAGCCAGCCCGCCCGCCAGCCCACCCAAGCCAATCTTGCCGGACACCAATCAGCCCGGCAGTGGAAGGGTCCGACGGGATCCTCACTGGGGCAGCACCACCCGCTCGCCATGTTCTCGAACGACCGCTTGGAAGAAAAAAGTCTGCAGGTTGCTGCCAGGCGGAGAAGCTGCGGAGGTAAACCTCGTGCTTTGGGGCGACATGCGACCGCACCCACTTCTCCGAAGGCCGTGCTCATTCGCTATCGAGGCCAAGAGCACCAACTACTGCAGCCGGCGTCCTGCAGCTCTGCTGGACTGCCATTCGCGGCGGTGTCCTTCGCCAGGTGCCACTTCACGGTCCCAAGCGGCCGAGCTGGCTGCGTTCGCTGCACCTGACGCACACACGTCCGTTCGAGCAGCGTCTGCTTCCCCCTTCAACCTAGCGCGCCCAGCGTCGACCAGAAGCTCATTACGAAGGGTGTACTGTATGTTCTCGCGTTGATGTACGAGTACAGTACAGTACTACTCGCAGGCAAATGATGGTGCGTGGCGGTGTTGGCACGAGAGACCCTCCGCCCCATAGCGAGGCGCCCTCCCCGGCCCAGGAGACCACCTTCATGGCATCGGCCAGCGACGAGGCAAGGGTGCATCAGTCAGGACTCAGGAACGGCCACCGCCCAGGGACGACGCTGCCGCGTCTGACTGAGCGCGGCAGGCCGGGCGCATGATGCGTCGAATCAGCAGCCTCACCATCAAAGATGGCGAGGAGCGCAACAGAGTCAGCATTCCTGCGCACCAGCGGTTCGTCACAGGGCCGGGCCGGACACATTGACGTGGCTCCAGGCGCGCTGTCCCGGGCCGGGGCTGGGGGCGGACGCATCACGATCCAGGTGACCGTGTAAATGAACCTCGCGAACTGTCGAGCTGCACGACGCGCGAACAAACGTGCTGCACTGCAACGGCGCTGCACCTCAGTCTCCTGCCTCCTACATGCTCCGGAGCAGGCGGAGAGAAATGCCTCAGGTCCACTGCGAGATCGTGTCCGGCGCACAACACTCGCATCCATGCCGTAGCGCCGCCGACCGCTCCCTGACTGCCCCGGCTCGGCTCTCTGTCTGGCCGCGCTGCTCAAGGAGACCCCCCATGTTTGGCGTACGTGAGGGTTTGCATTTCCATTTGAGTAATATCGTCACAATCTCTCACGAGACCACGAGCTGGGGTTGTGGGCCATTCATGCACACGCTGCCGAACCAGTTGACCGACCGACCCCGGGGGGCGGACGGCTTCTTCATTTCAAGCCACAACGGAGCACAAGATGTGCCTTCACGGTCGAGTTTCAGCTCCGGCTCCTGTCGACCTTCCGGGTTTGAGAAGCGAGGCACATGAGGGCCCTTGGGTCCCTTGCCGGGCTCCCATGCCGTCGCCAGGTTCGTTGTTGTTGTGGAACCGAACGAATCTCCCACCGCAGGACTAACCAGCGTGCCGGGGCGGACGGGAAATTGGGGACCTTCGCGGCGCTGTCCCTCGTGTCCGAGGTTGATTGTCTCAGAGCGCCTGTCCACTGGCATTTTGATCTTCAAGTGAAGACTGCGCACCTGGATGAAACGAGCCTCCAAGCATGTATTGTTGCCAACCACGCCGTGCCCGTACATTCGTACACTGGACGGGCTCTCGGCGCCACCAGCCTGGCAGCCCGTCATGGACCTTGCATGGCCAGGCCAGACGCAACTCACAAGGCACCCGGAACGAGATCGACTTGCCACTTGCCGCACGGGGCCACAGCGCGCCTTCGGCGGAAAGGCCGTGGCCGTATGGCCATGTGCTGTGGGCGGAAGACCGCCACAGCGGACCGACACCGGGACAGAGGATGGAAGAAGACATCGAGAATGTGCCCATTGGCGCCGAGGCAACCCGGCATGGAGAGTTGGGCAGCTATCCGTAGCCACCACGACCAATTGACGGTGCAGTATTGGCAAGCCCGCGAGCAGCCCCGGGGCCCGGGCCACGCCATTGAGCGGCACCATGTTTTCCGCGGCATCGACCGAGAGGAGCAGGCTTTGGAGGGGTGGCGGGCCGGATTCTCGTGTTTGCCGGCGCCATGTCGCTCGAGCTCGATCTCGAACTCGAAAATTCCTCTCGCCCGCGCGCCGTGCGAAGCCAGGTTGCATCCAGGCCCGTGAAGACGAGCTCGGAATCTCGTACCGACGCCGTTTGACACGAACATGACTGCTGGCACCGTGCGCTGCTATCGATAAACGAGGCCACGGCGCGCCCCAGGCATCCCGCGCCGCCACGGCCAGCGGGAACTTTCGGCCGGGGGTTGACGAACAGCCAGGGGGGTCCGCCTGTTGTTGACGAACACCGGGTGTCCGCCTGCTTGCCAGGATGCCAGGCGCGTCCTTTGCCTAAAATTTCAGGGTCCTGGCTGCCCTGGCGTGGGCAGGCGACGAGTCTTCAGTGCTTCCAAGGCAGCGAAAGGGGCGATCGCAGACAGGGTTCAGTCTGGAGCAGCTTGCAGGACCCTGTTGGCCCTCGCTGCTGGGGCGACAATCCTCCGCTCCATTGCCAAGGCAAGTAAGTCATGGGCCAGCCACGATGCCACGCTCGACACCTGCTGGTCCGGTCATGTTGTCTCGCAAGTCAAGCGCAATTCTGTGCGAGTCTGCGGCATGTAAATTGTACTCGGGGTACTGTCCGGTCGTCCGCACTTTGCACGCGGATACCTCGATGGATGGCAGGCGGACGGCGACCATGACGAAGAGTTGTGTGTCTCACGGCCGCCACCTCACTTGGTTGCGCATGTCGTTGGCCGATCGCGAGGACGACCCCCAGCTGGCTGATGGCGCTGACCGCCTGCCTTTGGACCCCCTTTGATCTGGAGCCAGGCGCAGGGCGTCATCCATCTTGTCGACCCCTTCCCCCTCTGACTAGCCTGGCCTGGTCCCTGATGCTTGCCTGACCGGTTCCTCTGTGCCCACGCGGACAAGCATTGTCTTGTGGGGGTGGTCGAGACTTGTGCAGAGGACCTCGCGGGGACATTGCCGAGGGCAAACCGGTCACGACAATGGTCCATGCATGCGTGTGCCTGGGTTGTCACTGCCAGCCACGAACAAGACTTGGGTGCGCCTGAGCGGCAAGGTCCGTTGCACCTTTTCGTGCATGTCGCTGCGCTTGGCGGACCGCGTACGGTTGGAGTCTCTGACTGAGCGTCGAAAGGAGTCAAGAGACGCGCGGTGGCTTCCCACCTCACGGAGCTCCCTGACATCTGGTTGGGGCTGATGCCTGGCACTGACTGAACACGGGGACTTTCTTGTCGCAAAGCAGGCTTGGGGTCCTCGCCACTCGACGTGTGAGTCGACATCGAGGCGATCTGTCAGGCGTGATTGGTGACGCCGCCGCCAGGCTGCCGTGCTACCTGATGGCATCGTGGCTGCTGCAGTCGGCTTGATCGGGATCGCAACTGCGGGCCTCTCGACTGACGAGTCTCTTGCGGCGCCCGCGACGCCCGCCGAGAGGCCGGATGTCAGCATCAATGTTGGGAGCCAACGCAGGCAGCAGATGGACTGTTGCTTCATCTGCCGTGCCGTCACCGTTGGTGGCTTCGCACCTCGGCCCTGGTGGTCGGAGACGTACTGGACCGCTTCAAGCGCGTTCGACGGCTCCCGCCATGAGCGGACCCAACGAGTCGATGACTTCTCCGAGCCGTGCCTGGGACTGGGTGTCCGCGAGATGTCCCAGACTGCTCCATACCAAGGTACTCTGGGCGGACTACGGAGTACAACCGCGGCGGGTGTTGAATGTAGTCGTGCTGGCCAGAGCTCGTGCTGTACGGCAGGGCATCCACGACATCCTGCCACTTCTCTCGAGCCATCTGCATGAGTCCCTGGCAAGCTGGTGAAGTACAACTGCAACGACAAATTCGACTGTAGCGCAGCATGGCGACAGACGGGATTCCCACGGCCACTCTGTACCACCTACCTACTTTGTTTGTAGGTCATCCCGGACTTGCAGCAAAGGTTCCCGAATCCATGGGAGGTTGCGAAGACTGGCAGACGTGACAAGGGTGCAGGGTAGCTAAGCTGGAGTTGCGGTTTGGCGAAGCCACGAGCGCACGTGACCGCAGTCAGGGCCCGCAGGAAGCACGGACCAGGTCGAGCAGAGCACAGCAGGGGAAAGAGCTCGATTGGTGGAGGCGACGTGGCACTTTAACTGGCAGGGGCTGGGTCGTGCAATTGGGGTTATCGATCTGGCCAGACTGACTGACCTGCCTCAACGCTCCTTTTCCAACGACGACGCCTCGACGACCCTTGACCCAAGCGCACAACCCACGCCCGCCGCAGCTCCGCCCCGAACTCTGCTGCCGTGTCCTGTATCCTCCTGCGACACTCCTCCCTCATTCTCACGACACCCGCACGCACAACGCCGCACCACCGTCGCAATGGCAGACAACGTCGAGGGCCTCATTGACGTCCCGCGCGAGTTCCTCAAGGACGGCGTACAGTTTATCAACAAGTGCCAGAAGCGTGAGTCTGCCCGCCACCGCTGGTCCTGAGCCCTACGTGTCTCTTTCTGTGCCCGGCTCTGGAACGGGGAAGACGGAGACGGAGAAGAAGAGCTAGCTGCATGAGCAATGATGCTGACACGCGCGCCTTGCAGCCGACAAGAAGGAGTTCATCAAGATCTCGCAGGCCATTGCCATTGGCTTCCTGACCATGGGCACCGTCGGCTACGTCGTCAAGCTGAGTATGTTCTCGTGCCCTACCCCCTGCGCCGACCGTACAGATGCGCGTGTTCCGTGCATGCGCTGCGTCGAGACTCTGGTTTTCTGTGCTAAAGCGAGGCGACTCACCAGTCCACATCCCCATCAACAACATCCTCGTCGGTGCCGCGTAAGCGAATCGATTGTGGAGGCGTGCGCGAGGGGAAGGAGGATACACGCGCGGGCGGCAGAGCGGTAATGGACCCGGGGACGAGTTCGACAACGTCGCCCGCGACGGAGACTTGGCGGAGGTTGGCGTTCCGGCGCGTTTCGTCAGGGAGGACGCGCAGGTGTGCCGAACAGCACAATAACCCGAGAGGTGCCCGGGCACGAGGCAAGGGCAGTGGGCCATGCTCGACGTGCAGAAAGGTCAAGTGGAAGACGTAAAGGCGAGTGTAGGGGATGAGGAAAAGGAAGAGAACCTTTTGGCCAAGACGATGGCATACCAAGCACGGGTGTCCGCGGCCGAAGGGGGCTAGTTGGCGAGCTGTTGGCAGTCACGATACATACCCGTGCCAGTGTACCAAATCTGTAAAGAGCACAGAAAGCCTTGCATTGCATTCAGCTGTTCCTCGGTCGTGAATGACGGTGACTGACACTCCCCGCTGCGTGGTGTCCGTGTCTCGAATTAAGCTGTTGCGAGCACAGGGTCGACGAGGCACATGACACGGCTGTAGATGGACGGTACCCGTTTAACATCCTGCAACATGGTGATACTAACGCCAAAGCAGGTCACGAAGCACAGACACCCGGGGAAGCCGACGAGCGCGGCAGGGCCACCACGGTCACTGCGTTTTCCGATGCGAGGCTCATTGAGGCGCAGCGAGCACCTTTATGTCGGACGGTCCTCCTCCTCCCGGTTCGCGTACGCGCCAAAGCGTTTTCGTTCTACGTTCTAGTTCCGAAGTACACGTGACGATCCTGGGCCCCTGCGCGAAACGAGAGTCGAAGACTGTTTCGCACCCCTGGTCCTGGGAGGTCCCGTCTTGGGCGAGATTTCGACGCATGGGAGAAGTTTGGAGACTTTGAGGGTGGTGGTACTGTAGTATCAGCTTCGCCGCCAGGCTTCGCGACAAGGTCACAACCGCTTCCATTGTTTCCAAATTCTCCAACGGTGAAACAAGACACGGTAAAAGAATGATTTATCATCTAAAACGTCTTTCTTTCTCTTTCTTCTTACAGTAAAGCACATCGACAAGAAAATAATGCAATGCGGAAGTGTCTTTTATCTGTGACTTTTGAGTCCTGTCGTTGACAGAGAAGGAGAGGGAGGGAGTGGACTTGCACACACTCACACTCACACACACAGTCGCTCACACATAGACACACTGGCGCCCACGCACGTCAACGACACCCGATCTTAGTCACACGAATGTCTTTTGACACCACGGCCCATACACTCCCAACCGAGTTTGCTCCCTGTCCCCTAAACCTAGAGATGGAACGGCGAACAAGGCCGATACGGGATGTGATCCCTCAACGTGTGGCTTAGCACTGCGCCTTTAGATATTCGTTACGCCGTCATGCGCCGAGCCAAAGACGTACGCACCCCTTCCAGCCACTGACGGCAATATTCAGTTCCAACCACGAGGCCTCCCTCACCCCTTGCGATGTCACTCTGTCAATCGCATGCTCAGCTTTACTTGCTTTTGCTTGATATTTCCCTTCTTGTTCTTTTCTATTAACCGTTTTTTAACTGGCCATTTGGTTCTCATGACGATTCGTCAATTGGGGTTTTATGACGTCAAAGCCCGACCCCGTACCGAGAATGATCGTCTGCGCCGCCAGCGCGTGGCTTAGCCTGGAAGTTTAATTCCCTAGGCACAAGAGGGGCGAAGGAGGCTGCTTCTTTACAACCAAGACACGAACCCATATCCTCTCAGGCACCGCGCGCATCCAGACGCGCATTTGACACGACACAGGCGACGCAACCATGTGTCTCCCAAACCTCTTTTCCAGGAAGCAAACCCAAGACCACCCGCACGAGGAAACAACACCACAGCCATCACCAGCTCAGCAGCCCAAGGGTCGCAGAACAGCCGAAGCCACCGCTCGGCTAGATAAGAGCAGATTCTCAAGCACCAGAAGGCCAAGAAGAGGCTCGTCCGAGAAGAACCAAGCCGGCGCAGATTACACTCCAGGCGGGCATGCGGCTTCTTCACCGTCCACTGGAGGGCCCGAAGGGCAACATGGAGGCATCTATGGAGGTGTTCAGGGGGGTTTGTATTCGGGAGTGAGTGGAGGAGGAGGAGGAGCGAATGGAGGTGTGTCGGGTGGCGTGTACGGTGGCGTGTACGGGACTTCAGGGGGAGGAGGGCTGGGGACGACGCCGGGAGGAGGGTATGGGGCATTACCGGGAGGGACATAGTTCTTTGGGCATTGAGCCGTAGAAAGGTGGTAAGTTAGTAGCAGGAGTTCTCTGTAAGTTAGTAGCTTGTCACACTCGACGCGGCCCATTCACGCCGTTCGCTTCCACCATAAGCCCATCACTAGCAAGGCGGAAGACTGCAACATGAGATGGTAAGCGCAGGTCCTGTGTCCCCCATGTCCGTACGAATATATACACATGCCTTCAGTTCGGAGAAGAAGCTCTCCGATAGGATCGATCTTGCAGCGGCGGCGACCGACTCGGTTACAGGGGGGCGCCTTTGTGCTTTCGACGCTGGCAGGTTTCATCGCGGATACGTGAGAACCGACAGGGAGCTAGTTACAGCCAACCACCGGTTCGGCAATCGAATTTGTTTCGTCAAGCCCGGCTGTAAATCATGCCTCCTTGAAGCATTTAGGCTGCGCCCGAGACATATTTCGGAGCCCATGACTGCAGCGATTGGGAATTTGTTGACGGGGATGAAGTTGGCAGAGGAGTTTGGTTGTGCCTCCTCAGCGGCCAGGCCGTTCGCTAGGCGCATGGAAGGCACCTCGCAGCGAGCACCAGCACGCGCGTACCTGGCCGGCCGGGTCGGTCGACATGAGCCCATTCTCCCAAAACAAAATTGATAATTGTGCATCAGACCAGCCACATTGCAAAGCCACACATGGAGGTCGCCTCACCATCCATAACTGGCTCGGGGTCTAACATGACTACTACGGGCGTGAAAGCAAGAAACGGCCAGGAGTGTAAGTTACTGTTCTGTACATCCCCAGCTCCAGCTGCAACAGCGTTTTTGTGTACTTCCAATTCGGGAAAATACCATTGATATGACTCCCAGTCATCCAAATCCTGTCGCGGTGCGAGATGGATGTGCGCGCGGGGCTCATTTCTCGACGGTGACTCTTCAACGCGCATATCAGCCCGTGTGACTCAACGCCTTCCAGGCGAGGCACTTGGTAATTAGGTAGTATGCCTCGCGGGCTCACCACCATCACCACCGCTACCACCACCACCACCATCGGCATCAGCACCAACAATGGCCACCATCAGCAGTAGCATAGCAGTAGCATCTCCACCTCAGCCTAGCTGGCGACGAGGCGCAATCATCGGTACGGCATCGAGATGAGCTAGCTAATAACCTCCCGCTCGCATGGAGCCCGCTCGTGTTTCGCATGGCGCGGGGGGAATCAAACAGCCACTTCGCCGGCTGACTTGCATTTCCGCCGCCCTTGCCTACATGTATTGTACCTTGTATTTGTGTAAGTGTGTGTAAGTCATCGTCGTCTTGCTGCTGGGGCTGCTGATACCCATAAAGGTGCCCGCCCCCCCTTGGAACCTCTCTGTCCTCCTGGCATCTCAGAAGTCACCAGCTACCTATCCCAAGCGCTCAGCGCCCCTTCGCCTCTCTCTCCCCCCCTCTCAGTGTCTGTCTGTATCCCGGCAGATGCCCAGATATACCACCTTTCTTCCCATCCATCTCCCCAGTCCCAACCTGGCCGACATGCCCAGCCATCCCGCCACCGACGCGGACATCGACTCCCCCTCCTCGCCATCCTCCTCCACCATCCTGCTCCCCCTCGCCGCGCAGCAGCAGCAGCAGCACCAGCGCTACTTCGCGCGCATCTCCCACTCCCCCATCTACAAGCCCAAGACCTTCGGCTGGTCCACCCACAAGTTCGACCGCAAGTTCGTCTGGCTCGTCGGCTCGCCGTGCTCCTACCGCGGCTTCAACCGCGCCGTCCTCGACGTCCTCGTCGACGACAACGACTCCTCCTCCTCCTCGCCGCGCGACAACCGCCGCCCGCCACAGCACCAGCGCCGGTTCCTCGCCCAGCGCTACCGCCGGGCCGCGTACCGCCGCGACCCGTTCCGATACGTCCACCCGCCTACGCGCGCCTGGATGGACCGCGTCGAGGAGCTGCGCGAGGGCCGCGACATTGCCGCCGAGGGGAGCGCTCTGCTTCCGCTTAGGGATATGGATCGGCGGCGTGGGCAGGAGCTCCAGCAATGTGACGCCCAGCGTCGTGTAGATGATGATGGGGACGATGAAGAGCGTAGCGGCTGTGATGATGATGGGGACGACGACGACGGCCATGCCGACGAGGACGACGACGTGCGGGAGCTCTACCGCATGGGCCTCCTCTACGACGACGAGCACGAGCGCGGCTCGGGCTTCACCCTCGACGCCATCGCCCACGACACTGCCTCCACGCCGCTCTACACCCTGACGGTCCGCGACCGCGACCGCGACCACCACCGTCGCGGCAAGCGAACCCAGCACGTGCAGGACTGGGACAACACCCCCGCTGACATTGCCAGCGACGAGGCCCTCGCTGCGTTCCTCGCCGAGGCAGACTACGTCGACGTCTGCGCGCGGGACCTCCTCGACGGCGGTGATTCGGATGGTGGGACTGTCGCCGCGGCCGGTCCGTCCCGCAAGGAAGGGGATGTGGTCGCTGCGATGCGCGCCCAGCAGCGGCTGTGGGAGGCGTTTCGGGGAGACCGGCCGTCTGACCTCGACGGCGTAGAATGGGAGGTGGTATGAATCATCGACCGTACCTCGCCCGAGGCTGGTCCGTCTCTGTAATATGCCAAGTCAACTAAGACGCATACTTGAGCGGGTGCCATAGTAAAGAGAATCAAACAGTCACATGCCAACGATCCCCGACTTGTGAAAAAGACAAATATCCTTGTGTGTAAACCGCCGCCGTTGCCGACGGACTCTAACAATCGTGAGTGAGCCATGCCCAACGCCTCCGCGCCTAGCCGTTCGTGCGCCGTGGGCGCTCGCGCGCCCAAGACGGCCCATACATTAGCATACAAGTACATTCCTCCCGTTATTGCGCCATGTCCCCGGGTTCTTTTCATTTCAGCCCATGCTGTAGGGCACAATAGCCTTGTCAATGACGGGGCCGCGCCGCGCCATCTTGCTGCTTTCGGGTCCCCACCGCGACTTCCACTCAGCGTCGCTGCCCAGGGCCTCGTCAAACGCCTTGCGGCACTCCGGCGGCAGCAGGTCCTTGACGTCGTCCGAAACCGCGGACAGGCCGTTGAATGACGACAAAAAGTCGGCCGAGTCGTCCGCGTCCATGGCCACGGGCGCGGCGCCGGCGGGCGGGCTCTCAAAGTACGTGTCGGTGACCATGAAATTCCTCGCCACCTTTGCCGAGACGGGTGGGAACCGGCTGCTGCCTCTCGTGGCGTCCTCGTCCTCGGGCGCAACCTGCTCGATCCGCGCCAGTGTGGGCTGCATGATAGCTGGGTACTGCATGACGTTGGTGTGAATGTCGTAAACGCCAGCGTTGTTCAGCTTGCGAATGGCGTTGATGCCAGAGTTGAATATGCTGCAGTCGAGCTTGTTAGCACTTGCTCGGGGATTCAGGGAGTTCCTACGGGACGGCGATGTGAGTGGCCTACCTCGCCTCTCGTGCATGTTCCAGCATCCAATTGGTGTCGTTGACATTGACCTTGCGCTTCTTGTACTCTGGCTTGCCGCTTGGCACCGGCACCGACGGCACGTTGGTGTGGTAGACGGCGCTGGCTCCGTGCCACGCCACGTACTGGTTCTTGTTGTACGGCTCGCCGGGCACGAAGTGGTCGTCTGGGTCCGCGAGCTGCCCCTCGACAACGCCCTCCGCGCGAGCCTGGGCCACGTTGTAGTCGTCGTGGATCCGCTTGCCACCGACTATAATGCGCGCGCCAAATTCTCTGAACACGGACCGGGCCGTAACGACGCCTATCGAGCGACCCTTGTACGAGTGCGGGATGATGTCGCGCTCAATCATGTCGCGCTTCTCGTCGTCATCGACAATGATCTTGTAGAGCTTTCGGTGCTTGGTGAAGAAGAGATAGCTGTCCCTGAAGCCCACGCATCGGGCGGGCTCCGTCGACAACATGTAGAGCCTGTCCCCTCGGCCCATGACGGTAAAGGTGCGGCAACGGTACTCGCGTCCGCCCTCGAGGTTGCCCAGCTTGTCGACCTTGGTCTCGCCCTCCGGGTCGTCGGGCAGGACGCACTCGTCGTCGACAATCTCGGCGACGGTGCCCTCGGCGTCGATGACCTGCTCGGCCTTGGGCGGAGGCGCGCCTCCCTTGCGGCCTCCTCGTCCCCTCCAGCCGCCGCGTCCCCTGCGCCGGGGCGTGTCCTCGGTCACGGTGACCATGGGGTCCCAGTCTGGGGGCTTGTTCTTGGGCGGTCGGCCCAGCCGCTTTCTCCGGATGACGGGCTGGGGTGGCGGCGAGGGCTCCTTGGCGGACTCCTCCTCCTTTGCTTCTTCGTCATCGTCGGCCGAGTCGTCTCCCTTGCGCTCGGCCTCTTCGTCGTCGTTGTCGTCTTGCGCCGGCGGCTCCTCGTGCTCTGAAGCATTGTCCGCAGCGGCGTCGGCCATGGGTTCATCTTCGAGGTCGGCGAAGTTCTTGGGTGTGCTCTCTGCGGCGGCGCCAGACGAGCGCGTTAGCCTCAGCCGGATTCTGCCTTTCGGGGCCATGGTGCGGGCCGCCCTCGGGGTGCGCGGTCGAGGGCGAGCAGAAGGGGGACGCGGATGAAGGCGGGCGGGCTGCGCAGGGTGCAAAATGGCCAGGTCCCGTCTGCAAGCAGCGTACGTCCGTTGCGTTGCGAGACGAGACGAGGGCCTGCGGAGGGAGTCGGGTGCGGGTTGCTGGTGCTGGTGCTGGTGCAGAGTGCAAGGGGACAAAAACTGGTCAAAGACAGACGAGAAGTTAGAACGTACCAAGAGCGGCGGCCGCCTTTCGGGCGGCAGCGCGGCCAGATCGTCGGCCGGCCATCGTGAATCGTGGTCCACCGCCCGCGGAAAAACTGGCCTCTCCGTGTCCAAAAAACCGCTCGTCGCGCAACGGGGGCTCGGCTCGGTAGCACGAGGATGGCCGTCGTCAGTCTCTCGATGAGGCGTCCAGACGCAGAGTTGAAGCTTTGAGCTGCGCCGTCGCCCCGGACACACGGTCCTGACGCGCCCTGTCGCAAGCCCCCTGCACCCGTGATTGGCCCTGTCATGCCCTGTGCCGCATGCGACGGCGCACTGTATCTGCGCACTGTATCGTGGACTTTGCCATTTCAGAGTAACTTATGGGCTACTCTCTCCTTTGAGTGACTGCCTACTTCGTATGTTGCCATCAACAATACTCAATTCCATTGCCCCCAGGCAGTCGGTCTCCTACCTGAGGTGCGCGTCTACACGCCAGTACTCCTAAACACGTCATGCGCTCGTCATCCACAGGACCTCGCTTTTCTAGCATGCGCTATACAGGCCTAGACGGCGTCTGCGTCCTCCCCCCTTTCCACCATCACACACAGACATCTCCCTTCGCGACCATCACAGCGTATCCCATCCTCCATTGTTAATCTCCGCCTCCAGCTTGCGGCTGATGAGGCTCGGCACTCCGTGGTTCAGCACCGTGCTGCGTATCATCGAGTCGTACCGCTTCTGGTTCAGGAACAGCTGACGCCCGTGTCGCAGCTGCGGGTCCGTCTCGCCGTACTTGTCGATGTACGGTGCCGCCGCGAACGAGCCCGACTGCCGGAACAGGTACACGGTCGAGCACTTGCGCACGTTGAGGAACACGCCAATGTTCCGCTGGCATCTGGGGGCGCGCGTCTCGCGTTAGCACTCTCGCTCTGTCATGTCATCGTCAACGCCTCTGGGCGGCCGCCACTCACTTGCGCATGTGCTGCTGCGCTCCGCCAATCCTCGTCGTCTCGCCGCTAACGAGGTCCGGCTTCTGGCAGCACGTGCTCTGGCTGCAAAACAGCTCCCCGCAAAACAAGCATATCACCGGGTCCGTCAGGTCCTTGCCCGTCGTCGGGCACTTCCGCCTCGTCGCCTCCTCGATCAGCGTGTCGTATGTCTTCGGAAGCCCTATCAGCTCGAAGATGCCGGGGTGGCTGACCACCGTCGACGCATTCATGTCCCCGAGCTTGCGCGGGCACAGGGCCTGGTGCTTGATCCATCCAGACACCAGGTCTCGCGTTGTGTCTGGCCATCCAAAGGCCGACGCGTTGTGCGTGAGGGAAGCGCACATCTCGTCAAATGGCGGCACGCGGAGTGCTTCTGTGAGGCGATCCAGCTCGTCCGCTTCTGGAATGGGCGAGACGTGGCTGTTGAAGTCTACGCCATACTTGACGTACAGGAAGACCACAGTCTTCCGGAGGAAGGTAAGCGCATACTTCTTCACAAACGTGTACCAGCCTTCCAGCGTGTCCACCCCTGGCTGCTGGAAGCCGACGTTCTCTCCGTGATCCACCTCGTCGGCGCCCTTGGCCGCGTGGAAAGTCATTCCGTGCTCGGTGACGAAGAGGCCAAAGTCGGCAAAGTTGTTGATGGACGCGTCCCTGGTGTGCCGGTTCTTGAGACCTCCGAGCCACATGGCCACGGGGGCGTTTCGGCCCATGTGATACACCACCTTCACCAGCTCCGCGAGGTAGCACAGCCTGACCAGGTGTGCAATGTCCACCTTTTGATCGGGAACGAGGCCGTACGCGCATTCTACCAGGAAGATGAATGGGTCCATGCTAAGTAGCGCCGGGTACATGTCGATCGGCCGCGCCGAGTCTGGGGAGCCTGTCCCAAAGTACCGAGACATGAACAGCTGGCAGTGCTGCCTCTCGCAGTCTTTGCGGAACTCGTTTCCGACTAGGTTGTCCTCGTCATACGAACGGCTCCCCACCAGCATATACGACGATGCAGTCTCTGACAGGATCCGTAGGTGAGTCAAGACCTGCTCGGGAATCTTTTCGAGCAACGTCATGCCTGCCTGGGCCTCCACGCCACGCTGCTGGAGCTCCACGGACGAGATTGTGAAGCCAACCGTCTGTATCAGCGTGTCGCTCGAGTGGAGATCAGACCCGTAGTCGAGTTTTGCATCCATGATGTGCTTTGTCTGAAGACCGTTGACCCGCAGGGTGTCCCGAAGGCGTTGATACGCAACCATGAGGTCCTTGACCATTGCCTCCTTTGTCGTCGAGTCTCTCTCATTATCGGTGGTGCCGCCAGAACTGGCCATCGGCGCACTGGTGATGACCGAGGGCGCAGACGATGCTTGTGCCTGCGACCGTGACGTAAATGGGAATATTCTCGCCCAAGACCGGGGTTCTTCGGCGTCAGACTGGGTCGTCTCCAGCGATTCAACCAGACTACCGGGAACGCTTGGGGTCTTGAGTTCAGGCATGCCCGGGTCATCCATCTCCCGAGCCTTGCTTCCCCCTAGCCAATATGCAGAGCCCATTTGCTTCTCTAGAAACCCAGAAAAGGCACTCTCGGGCTGGAGATATCCGGGGTATGACTCCTCCAGGCCCTTCCAGACGATCGGCAAGAACGTGTTGCCCAACGCCTTGCAGAGGGGACACACAAACTCGTTCCGCCGCGTGTCTTCGGGATGATGCCGGGCAATTTGGTGGCTGTGACGCCTGACGGTGGCCTCGTAGTACATGTCGAAACAGTGGAAGTGCATCATATGCCCGCAACTGCTGGCTACGGGACCAGGTCGAGAGTAATTACCCTTGTAGCCCTTTCCGATGGTCTGTCGCTCGGCGAGGAAGACCTCTCCCTGCGGGTTCAGTTTCTCCACCATCTTCCGATTCTCATGCGCGATGCCGAATGGCCGGATGTCCTCGGCTGACCGGTCAAGACTGCACGGTGTCTGCGATGCCTCTCGCACGAGATCGGGATCCTGAAAGTTTGTCTGTCGGAGGATGCGGCTTTCGTTGATAAGAGCAAATGTCCCGTACAGACGCCGGTCGTCGGCTTCCTCTTGGCACAGGATGCATGTCCCGGTCGGGTATTTCCAGCTATGCTTGCGTTCTTCTGCCTGCTCCATGACGTCTTCGTCCTCCTCAAGGTCGGAGCCCCAGTCGATGCCGCCTTGGTTCTCCATGAAGCTCTTCTGCTGCTGCTGAAATTGCGCCATGACCTTGGCTTGGCGACTGAGCGCGGCCTTCTTCCGCCGCTCGCGTTCTTCTTCGGCCGAGTTGTTTGCCGGCGACGCAGTGTTGATGCGGTCCACGGCGACGCCCAGGCTGGTGAATGCTACCTCGAAGGACTGAGGTCGTTTTTGCTTCAGCCGCTTCAACACAAGCGCAATCTTGGGGTGGACAGATTTGAACTCGTCCTTTGTAGACATGAGGTGCAGCAGCGACACGATCGTTCTCGAGTTGCTCGCTTCGGGCATAAAGTTGCTGCGCGCCAACTTCGTAAGGGCAAGATGGACAAATGAAGTCTGTCCATCTGTCGCCACAAAGCTGTCATCCGTCTTGTCCTCGAGGATCGCAATCAGGATAAGGTGCAAGACGACCTGAAGGAACGTCTCTAGCCTCGTGAACGGTACCGTTGGGGTGAATCTCTGCGCGACAAGCGGATATAAGAGGGAATAGAATATGACTTGCGCAAAGATGCCGGTGCCGGTGAACTGGCCCAGGTCCTGGAAGAGGCCGGATGGGATTGGGCGGTGTTTCGGTTCGTACACGATGTCCTCCACAGCCTTGCCGGTCTTCTTGGCCATCTTCTTTCTGTAGGCCGTTTCGGATTCCTCGCGCTGATTCTTGTTGTAGTGCGCAATGTACGGGTCAATGTCGTCGATGAACTCATGACGGAGCTCAAACGTGCCGACATCGGAAACCCCTTCGGGTGGCTTAAACGTGGCCATCTCATCCAAAACCCTGTGGAAGTCTTCCTGTTCTTGGTACTTCTCGGGAAGCTTGTTGCAAATCTCGTTGAACGAGAGCGGCTTGAAGCACAAGACATGAATTATGTCCCGCCTCATGGCGAGAATCCTTGCGTTGGGCTCGTCTTCCGGGGCAATAAGGGATGTCCGGTCGCTCAGGAGAACGATGAGCAGGTGGATCATGTCCTCGACAATATCGAGGTGCTGGCTGTCGTCTTGCGCCTCCGACTTGAGCTCAAACAAGCCCTTGACCCATCCATCCATGCCAAACCGATCGATGATAGATGCAAGCATCCTGCTAGGGTTGCAAACCACCATGGCGGTCTGGAGGAGGAATATGTCTCGATGATGCGAGACATCTCTCTGACCGACACCGCGATAGGTGCTTGCTTGGTGCCGTAGGCTGATACCATTTCTAACCCACATGTTGGCCTTGATCTGTGCCAGCCATGCACACACACGGAGCGGGAAGTCAAATGCGGCCATGAGATAGTCCTCCGGGTCCTGATCCTTCTTTGGGATCTGTGGTCGGCCCATCAGTTTCGGCTTCGATCGCAGCTCTTGCAAGGTGAAGCTCATCAGGGACTTTAGGTTGGACGCGGGAAGCGATCGCGCACACTCAATGAGCCACGAGAGCGTGTAGTGCAGGGCGTGGTGGAAACTGATGGAGTCCTTTTCCACGACAAACTTGACGACTTCGTACGAAGCCCCTTCCGTGTCGAACTCGAAGTCGGTCAAAGTCTTGAATTTGACTTCGTCCTTGATCTCTCCTTGCTTGAACCGGGCACGCTCCGCCCCGATGGAATTGAGTATCACTGTCTTCGCAGTGAAGCGGATGGCGCGCTGAAGGTAGTGGATATCGTCGGCTGGGCAGTCTCGGAAGGCCTCGGCAAGATTTCGGGCTTGCAGGTTGATCTGGCGCGTAACCAGAGAGGCCGTGATCCACGAGTCGGCCTCGTACTCCACGTGTTCCACCACGGCGCGCACATTAGGCCCAATACACTGGTGCAACTTGACGAGGTCCAAAAACTGCATAAGATACCGCGGCTCGGACCTGACTCTTTCCTGGACATGCTGCGAGCCAAAGAGATATTTCAGGTCCTGATAGAAGTGATACATGCGGCGGTTCGTCACAGAGCCGCTTTCGAAGGCTAGGACGGCATCAGGTGACAAGTCCCAAGGATGACCAACTTGTCGAGTAGTCAAAAACGTGTAGAGAATTGCCAAAAGGCTGCTCAAGAAATTCCCCCTCTCGACGACCTCGGCGGTAATGGATGGCGTTGTCAGCATTTGGAGAGAAAGGTTGATGATGGAGTGGTCTGGCTCTCTGTCGCCGACGAGGTAAAGCTGCGCCAGGATGGTGTACAGGCTCGCAAAGCGGAGCGCCAGAACCCGTTTGAACTCCGGGATCGATACCACGGTTGAGATGTATAGGGCTCGGAGGTCATTCCTGACCTTCTTCCACATCCGCAGATCAAACAGCAGCAACCAGTCCAGCCGGACTCGTTGGAAGACATCTTCGGCCGGAGGCACCTTCTCGCGCTGTGTATAGACAGCGGGAGTCTCGATCCAATATCTGCCGGGCCTGGGTGTGACCTTTTCCGTCTTGCCCGGGGTCTTGGGGATGTCCACGTTGGCTTTGGCGTATATCGCAGGTGCAATAAGCGGCTCTGCCGTGTCTGAATCCGACGGTGTACCGTCCCGTTCCCGGGTTGGCGCCTGCGCCTGCGCCTGAGCTGGAGGGGGAGGAGGCGGGGGCGGGTAGCCTGCCATGGTGGCCTCGTCTTCTTCCAGTGCTTGATCGGGCTGGCTCCAGTTCATGCCCAAGTCCGCCACATCACCTCTGGCGTCGACCATCATGACGTCCTCATCTTCGTCTTCATCCTCGCCGGCGACGGAGCTGGTAGCGGATTGGTTGTCATCTTCGCCATCGTCCATGTCGGCGTCGTCGTCCTCCTCGTCATCGTCGTCGTCGTCGTCGTCATCGTCGATGTCCAAGGCCGCCCCGCCGACTATCTGCACCTCGCCCCGATTTCCAGCAGCCCGCTGCAGGGCGATGATGAAGCGTGCGTTCACACCATGAAACGGGGTTCGGGCCTCCATGTCCTGATCGTCTTCGTCTTCGTCGTCGATGAGGCCCATGGTGTGGGTTGCCAGGCTCCCTTGCCGCCAGGGGAGCATCACCTGCTCGCACACGGTCTGCCTAAGTATGTCGTTGTCATGGCCCACGCTGCAGCCGGAGATGTCGCTTAGCCATTCGACGAGAGTACCGCACATTTGCTCGCGAAAGGTGTCTCTGGCCGACCGGATCGTCACGGTAACGCGGATCGCTTCCATAATCTTGGCCATCTGCAAAAGCCGCGCGATATCGTCCGAGTATGTCAAGATGCTTCGCCCGATAGCGTCTGTCTCCCAGGCGTTTTGGGATGCCGACCGACTCGACTTGCGGCACGCCCTGGCCACCTGGTCCTGGACCTCTTGGACAGTATGCTTCTCATCGTTCCACAAGATCAAGGTAAAGTCGCTGCACGGCTCGGCCTCGACGCCGTAGTATTTCGAGGACAGGCGAGATTTGACCTCGTCTTCGACGATCTTGTCGTGCGTCTTGGCTTGTCGGAGCTGCTCGGGCGAACATGATATGACGTCGCAGATGTAGTCGAATACCCGGCCGATGGTCATTTGAAGGTTGGAGACGACCTCCTCTGGTAGACCGGCGGCCTCCTTTCCCTTGCCCTTGGCGGAGCCCTTGTGCATGTCGGAATGGATCGTGCAGAAGAGCGGAGTCTTCCACGCCTCGTCGTCGCCGCAGTCACAGCAGCCGCTGTTGCCCACCGAGATCTGGATACGAACCATGTGGCCGGTGTGATCGGTCGATTCGTAGCATCTGCTGCACAGGCAGCACGTCTCGTCGGTGCCGCAGGTCCGACACATGTAGGACGCCTCGCCGGGCTTGAAGATGTGGCCGCATCGCTTCCCGCGTGCCGCCTCGGTGTATTCGGCGCCCTCCACGGCCCCCTGGGCGTCGCTGAGCTTCAGGCTCTCCGGCGGCTTACCTGAGGGGAAGAGGAGGCGCATGTATTCGGGGTTGCCACCGCTCAGCGACCAGAACAAGCTCGTCAGGAGCTCCCTCGAGGCCTCCTCATTGTAGCGGTAGCCGAACCTGGCCGGCAGGTCTGCCAGGAGCTGGCAGAGCTGCTGCTCTTGTGTCGATAACGGGCTCTCCATTCTCACGTCCTCATGATGGTGTCGGCGACATGGGAAGAGGGGTCGATGAACGGTGAGGGCGCGATGCGGAAGACGTGCAGGCGGAAGGGTGGGGATGACGAGCTCCCGCAAAGGGTAGCACGGCGAGTGGGTGGCGGATGGAGAAGATTAGGCGGCGACCAGGCTGCCGAGGTGGCGGGTTGGTGGATAGGGTTTTTGGAGCGACAGAAAGCCCGCTTGGCACACTATACAAGGTTGCGGGTTTGTGTCGAGCGCGGCCACGGCGAGCTCCTGTTGCAGATGTTGTTGAAAAGTAGGCGCCCGCGGTTGTAATCGCAGCCAAAGTTGGGGTGAGGTGTGCGGTGAGTGCCCCGCCGTAGCACCGACGTCAGCTCCGACCCAGCCCGCCAGCCCAACCGCTGTGACGCCCGCCGCCACGCTGCCCGCGTCAGGGATCGCTCGGGCCGGCACCCAGCGCCCGTTCACTGCGCGACCACGGCCACCACCACGCAAGCGCTTCCAGGCTCGCGGTGCGCCGCGCCTCCCGTCCGTTTATTACAGGCCGTCACCCTGCACACGGAACTGCTAAGGTATGAACAGCTATCGCCAACCACGAAACGCCCAACTCGGCAGCACTCCAGCTCAGCCCGAGCAGCAGCAGTTGCAGAGCGCTCACCCGCCGTTGCTGCTCTGTCAGCACCTCTATGGCAATTTGCTCTTATCCCGGTCCGTAGGTACTTTGTCGTAGGTGTCCAAGCACAGTCACTTCAAGGTAAGCTCGTCGCAACTCGATGCAACAATCGTAATCATCTATGACGTCCACCTCTATTCGCCAAAGGTTTTGTACACGTTTACAGACAGGGCGGTTCATCCGTCCGCCGTTCCATCTCTGCTCGACGGTCGCCCTACTCCTCGTCCTCGTCGCCGCCCTCAACGTACTTGCTTCGGATGTCCTTCCATTGGCGCTGCACAATGCCGTTAGCACTCGTCGTCGGTCCGCTGCGTCAGATGGCGTGCGCCCAGTATACGTACGCCTCGGTTGTTGCTGTCCCAGATCTTGTTCATGGTCGAGTTGAAGCCGCTGCGACATCATTAGCCCTCATCCTCCTGAGCCTGTGACGGCGGAACCGGGGGTCGTACATCTCGAAGGCGAATCCGGCACCGAAGACTGCCGCCAGCATGGCGTAGTTCTTCCGGAAGAGGGTGCTACACAGGAGCGGGTTAGCAATGGTCGCTCGTCGTCGTCGGATCGTCAATTGCGGTCGTCACTTGCCTGTAGAGCTGGCTGCCGAGGGACTGCGAGATGCGCGATTAGCCAGAGTCGCGCGGGCGGGGAGCGCACGGGAAGCGCGGGTTCTTACCATGATGGCGGTTCTGCGCGATTGGGCACGTCCGAGGTGATTGAGGGTGTTCTGGGCCGCGGCGCTGGCTGGGAGAGGATGCAGATTGAGGTTCGGAAAGAGGCTCGAAAAGGTGCAGCCGGGCAAATTCGCGGATGACTGAGGCCAGAGCCTTTCGCCTGTCCCTGATTGGCTGGGCTCAAGGCCCACCGCCGAGGCGCTCCGGCCGGTCACCAGCTCAAGCTGCTGTCGCCTGTCCCTATGTGCTTGTTCACTTCTTCAAGGTACACTGAATTTGGCGAAAATAAAGCCGCCGCAGCTATATGCGACCGGGCCGCGGTGATTGCCTTGCCAGATGTACTGAAATGAACTTGCAGCCACAATCAAGAACTACGGATTCCAGGTCGGACGAGGCGTGGCAGCACGTGCAAGGTTCAGCCCAGGATCAAGGAAGTGGTGAGGGATGCGACCGTTCCGACGCTGCGGGAACACTGTAGTATGCTGCAAGGCACTAGATACACCTAGGACAGTTTAATGGTCTGCACCGTAGCCGCTGTTCCCAAGACGAGGGAAGTATTCTCATGCATTTGCAAGTGGGAGAAGCTTGGGAGCACCTGGACTCTGTACTTCGTACTTCTCTGGTGGGGCAGCGAGGACTAAACCCGTCCAAGTCGTCGCGACTTCCCTCCTGCGGCGCAAAGTGCCCCTCGTCAGGCACCGGGTCAACCTTTAATTCCTACCCACCACATCGAACATCCCCATCACCCCTGATATCGCGGCGCCTCCATCAATCACATCCTCAAGGGCGCCCGCTTCGGCTGCTCTTGTGGCGTCCTGCGGTGCGCGTCGCACTCACTTCCCCCACAACCGCCCATCATACGGAGCATCCGCGATGCCTTCCGAGTCCACCACCAACGCCGGCATCGTCACGGACGAGACGAGCGGCGAGCGCCACATTCCCGAGTCCGTACGCGCCGACGGCAGCACCCGAAAAGCGATCAAGATCCGTCCCGGGTACCGCCCGCCCGAGGACGTCGAGGTCTACAAGAACCGCACCGCCGAAGCGTTCCGAGAGCGTGGCAAGCGGATAGGCATCCCCGGCGCGGCGGGTCTCAAGGACGAGGAGCAGCCGGATCAAAGCTCCGCGGCGAACAAGAACGCGAAGCGACGCGAGGCGCGCAAGAAGGCAAAGGCTGCGGCGGAGGGTGAGGGCGAAGGCGCCGGTACCAGCGCTACCAGCAAAGGCAACTCCGCGGCAGAGGCCCAACCCACAGAGAAGGAGGAGGTTGATCCCGAGGTCGAGCGTGAGAAGAAGGCCCGGAACCTGAAGAAGAAGCTGAAGCAGGCCAAGGAGCTTCAGAGCAAGAAAGAGGGCGGAGAGACTCTCCTTCCGGAGCAGATCGCCAAGGTTATCAAGATCAAGGAGTTGATCCGGGAGCTGGATGCTCTGGGCTTCGATGCCGACGGTGAACTGAAACCCGACTCGGCCAAGGATGGCAACGACAAGAAGGATTGAGCCGAAGATTGGTGTTGGCCAGCTTCGACTAAATGCTTGATGTGACGCCTATGGATTGCTCAGACACTTCCTCGTTCTGGCAGCGCCGGGCATGTTGGAATTTGCCAGGGCTCAGATACCCCGGATGGAACGAGCAGCGCAGTGTGCAATCCACCGGCAGCCCGATAAACTAGCGGCATGGATGTCGCTTTCTCATGAATTCGACCAGTGGTGGGTGGGGTTCGTCATGGGAGTCTTGGGCGGATATGAAATCCTTCTAGACAAGGGGAAAACGGGTAGGGATTCATCTAGGGATCACGGGGAAGGTCAGGCGTTCGGGCACCACACATGAGCCGTATCAAACCTGTGACATCCGTTCCTTCAGGGGTGCTGCCATACGGCTACATTGACCAGACGTGCGTGTCCATATGATAGCAAATACCCTCATAATGGAGAATTGAAGCGATTAAGTGAGCTCCCATGAGCACACGATCAGCCTCACTCTCTCGCACCAAGTTGAACGACTTGTTGAAGATGTGATGTATAGGGTAGCCAATATTTGCTTGTCGGTGCGGCCCACCTTCCCCGACCTTCTGCCGGCCCCGGTGGCGCTCCACCAGCACAGGCTCCAGCGCGTGAGGTAAGCTCTCCAAAGCACCCTTGGTCACCAACCACCAGCATCATCACCGAACACCAACCGACACCTTGATCAGCATTTCCTCGTCTTTTGCCGGCGTGCCGACCTGCACGACCCTCTTCCCAGAATCCCCTCTCCGATCGACCCACCCGACTCACAAACGCCGCCGATCATGTCACCCGAGGAAGAGCGCCAGGCTGCCCTGGACTCGTACCGCGCGAAGCTCATCGAATCCCGCGAATGGGAAGCAAAGCTCAAGAACCTGCGGCTAGAGATCAAGGACCTGCAGAAGGAGTTTGACCGGACAGAGGACAACATCAAGGCGCTGCAGAGCGTGGGCCAGATCATCGGCGAGGTGCTGAAGCAGCTGGACGAGGAGAGATGTATGGCCCTCCTCCTTCGACGCCGTGGCCCTGATTGCGATCCCACTACTTCTCGAGGCTGACCAAGAAACGCAGTTATTGTCAAGGCATCTTCCGGACCTCGATATGTTGTCGGCTGCAGATCGAAGGTGGACAGGGCGAAGTTGAAGCAGGGTACTCGTGTGGCGCTGGACATGACGACGCTCACAATCATGCGCATGCTGCCGCGTGAGGTCGATCCTCTGGTCTACAACATGTCACTCGAGGATCCCGGCCAGGTCAGCTTTGCCGGCATCGGTGGCTTGAACGACCAGATTCGCGAGTTGAGAGAAGTCATCGAACTTCCCCTCAAGAACCCGGAACTCTTCATGCGAGTCGGCATCAAGCCCCCCAAAGGTGTTTTGCTCTACGGTCCGCCGGGAACGGGAAAGACTCTTCTCGCCAGAGCAGTGGCAAGCAGCCTGGAAACCAACTTTCTCAAAGGTAGACGTCAAAATGCTATATTGAGGGTGTGCAAGGTGCTGACATCGACACAGTCGTCTCGTCGGCCATTGTCGACAAATATATTGGCGAATCTGCCCGGCTGATACGCGAGATGTTTGGTTATGCCAAGGAGCACGAGCCCTGCATCATCTTCATGGACGAGATTGATGCCATCGGCGGTCGGCGATTCTCAGAAGGTACCAGTGCGGATCGCGAGATCCAACGCACCCTGATGGAGCTGCTCAATCAGCTCGACGGCTTCGACTACCTCGGCAAGACCAAGATCATCATGGCCACAAACCGGCCCGACACCCTGGATCCGGCGCTGCTACGTGCTGGGCGACTGGACCGCAAGATCGAGATCCCGCTACCCAACGAGGTGGGCCGGCTGGAGATTCTCAAGATCCACGCCCAGAGCGTCATTCTTGACGGCGAGGTGGACTTTGAAAGCGTGGTGAAGATGAGTGACGGACTGAACGGAGCCGACCTGCGAAACGTGGTCACAGAAGCGTAAGACTCGTCAAGTCCCCATGCACGAGCTTCAGACCAGGAACTGACTTTGACCTGCAGCGGCCTGTTTGCCATCAAGGATTATCGGGACTCCATCAACCAGGACGACTTCAACAAGGCGGTGCGCAAGGTGGCCGAGGCGAAGAAGCTGGAGGGCAAGCTCGAGTACCAGAAGCTGTGAGCGTGAAGGATGGCATAGTAGTACGGGGGCCTGAAGCAGCAGTGGCGGGGTGGACGGGTCACAGAAGCGATGTGTAAGACTGTATAATACGCAAAGCAGCCATGGGCCAGGCTCGGGCGGTTCGTGCTCAGGGTAGGGATAAGGCGGCGCCCAGGCGCCTGGGCAATAGATGGGCTTTGGCTGCACAACTGGCGAGACGCCGATGGTGAACCACCAAGCAGGGCGTGGGCACGTGCAGACCAACCAACACGCCTCGTGCCTCTCGCGTCTGAAACAAGCACAGGACCAACAGGATATGCTGCAGAAGGAGCAGTGACCCTGTGGCTGTGCGTGGCCTGAAGCAAGATGCCTCGGAGCGTGGTCCTGGCGAAGAAGTCGTTGAGCAAGCTCTCGGCCATGCAGCCATAGGGCTGACCCAATTTACTAGTACGAAGTAGAATGCAGCACGGCTGTGATGTGTGTGGCCAGAGACGGCAACATCTGCAGCCGGATCGTCGAGGACAACAAGTTCGCTCGGCAGGCTGACGGTGGAGGGATCCGACGAGGCTGATGTCAGATATGGAGCCTGGGGAAAATACGCCCGTCATCAGAGGCACGGGACGACCACGGACGGCGGCGCCCCTTTTTTTTCTCTCTCTCTCGCATCCTTCCGCGCCACGCCCTTGCTGTGGCATCTCCAAGGATGCAATAAGCTTGACGCCTGACGGTTGAGTGGAGCTAGCTGACGATCCGGAAAAGGAAGCAGGGTGGTCATCTTGGTTTGCGGCGCGTTTGTGGTGTTTTCTGGAGCCGTGGATGATCTCGGCAGGACGAGGAGGCGGCGAGGCTGCGTACAGGGCGCGGTGAGCTTTGGAGCCATTACCAATGAGGAGCGCTGATGGCGGTGAGGGCGGGCCAGGGGGGGGGTCCGGGCGGGTGCTATTCTTGGAAGCGCGGCCAGGCGAGGCGAGGCGAGTGAGGCTGTGAAAGGGGAGCCTTCTCTCTGCTAGCCTCGGGAGCTGTGGCGCGCCGGCGGGCAGAGGTCAGATTGCTGGGCTGGCAGTGGAGGCACTCTGGGAAGGAGGAGCAAGGCCAAAAAAAAAGAGGGCTTCTGGCCAGGGGACACTTGTTGGGGGAAGCGCAGGGAGCGGGCCCCTGAATACGAAGAATGACGTCGGTTGTTGATGGGCGTGTCGTCGTGTTTGCCGTGTGCAACGGCTCGGAGCTATCTCTTGGGTGCGCGTTGCCATGAGTCGCGGAACGCTTTGATGGTGTCTCTTGATTTCGCATCTCGGCTCAGGAGTGCATGCCCGCAGCACCGTCCATACGAATACGGGTTCCGCGCATGCATGTTAAACTTGCGGAGTACAGTTTACCTACCTACTTACCGACGAGGTGAAAGGATCAGACGGAGTAGGGTCTCGGGGTTCCTTTGTGCTGCCGGGCCGGCTTGCGGGTGAGACACGGGCCAGTGTCAGTCAGTGGGAAGATAGGTACGTCAGAGTGAGCTGGGTTTTGAGTGAGGCCGGGCCAGGGGCAGCGATGACAGATGCGGTGGTGTTGTGGCAGATGGTGCTGTTGCTGCCGTTGCCGGGCAGCTGGGGGCAGCGGTTGATGCGGGACCCGCGACGATAGCGAAGAGAACGACCTCGCCGACGATGGCGATGACATGGGGACCCCTCCAGCTACACAGCGCCGGGGATTTACTTGGCTTGCAGTTGCTTGGACACCTACCTAGAGTTGAGCGCAGGCCAGGCACCACTGCACCCCGTTGCCGTGACGCCCCCCCGCCAGTCCCCAGGGGCTCCCCGTCATGCTCCTGCTGCACCCGGCTAGTGCGCCAGTTGAGCCGCCAAGCAGGTACGTCGGACCCCACCAAGGGGAGCCCGGAGGGCCACCACGCCCACTGACACGGGAACCGGCGGCGCGGCATTCGAAATGCCATGGCGGCCTCGACTGCGCTCTGTTCCGGAGCCCCCATTCTCCCTCCAGGCGAGACGAGGCAGCGTCCCGTTGACTTCCATGGGATCGTTTGCCCTTCAGAGCAAAGATGGATGGCCGGCCAGCGACCATACCCACCCCTGCTTGACATGCTGCATTCGCGGGCCGTTTTCGCTGTCTTGCAGCATAACCCACGCGAAAACATAAAATATAAGGACAAGAATTTCACCTTGAGCGTCCGAGATCTGCAATGTGGCCCCCCGGGGTGGGCATGGGGGGCACGGGGAGGGGCTCTCGTCGTTGCAGGTAAATCGTGGACTTCGTTTGTTGTACAAATCACGGCCCGCCAACGAGACAAGCGTCCGGCGGGACCCCTGGCGAGGCGAAACAGGCCGCGCCATGTGCATTACCTGCTGGTGACGCCACGGGCCGCCGCCCACCACCGAGCCCGGCCTGGAATCTGGCATCTGCCTGCGGCGGCCGTCTGCGTGTTGAACGGCCCCGTCACTCGTGTGTCGTTTGCCTGCCGCACCGTTGACCAGTGGCCGGGGTGATGATGACGATGGCGATGCTGCTGTTGCTATTGCTGTAGCCAGCGGGGGGTGGCACCAAGCGAGACACACGTCCCCCGCCAGCGGCGGTGGCCTCAGTTACACGTTCGTATCGATATCTCGGCGGCGCCCTCTGGGCCGGCTCGTGTTTTTTTTTTCCTTACCACGTTCCGTCCGCGTTGGTGCTGGTCCCTGGCGTTGGCGTCGGCATCGGCATGCAGATTGCTAACATGTACTTACACGGCCTGACGCAGAGTGAATGGATGCCCGTGCAACCGACGTCGACAACGGGCCTCGAACCCGAGAGCCCCGTCTCCAGTGCCATGGCAGCAGCAGCTGCAGTAGGTACTTGGTGAGGACCCGAGCACTCCGTTCGTCTCAGTGAGAAAGCTCCGGCCACCCCAGGCCGGCCCTAGGATGGGAGCAGATCTTTGCCGTCAAGCTTCCCACAAGCCGAGCCCGTGTCTGCCATCAAGATCAGCGTCCCGGCAGCAGCCACATCGACGAGTCGGCAAGCCGCTGCTGACCGCCTGTGCTGCTGCAGCCCGGACGTCGACAGACGCGCGGATGGAAGGGCCGGGGGGGCCCCCTGGACAAAACCGTCCTGTCCAACAGCTGGTGCGGGACGCCGGCGGCGACGGGCAGCCAGCCAGCGCACCCGGAGCCCGGCTGCCGTGCTGTGGTGTGCTGTGCATGCAGAAGGTACCTAGACGTTGCTGTCCGGGTGCGAGGTGTGCTGTGCCCTGCCTGCCCTGCCCCGTGCTGCAGCTTCGCTGGGTGGCTTGCCAGCGCCTCGCTGAGATGGGGACCGGACGAGAGACCTGACCGACCCGTGGACCCCTCTCAGGCGCCGCCTGGCCCCCTCCCCACATGCACTGACTGACCTTGCTGGCCTTGGCTGCGCGCTAGAGCTGAGCCCCCTCAAGCCTCGTTCGCTCGCGCTCACTCCCCTGTTCCTGCCAACCGGAGCCACCCACACCCACCAACCCGGCCTGGCCGCCCCTCCAACACGCCTGGGCTGCCCGTGGCGTGGGCCTGGCACAGGCGTTGCTGAAGCAGCAGCTGCTGCACCTCCCCTCCCCTCCCCTCCCCTCCAT